TCTATGCTTCTTCTTTGTCTGATATAGCGTAGCAGATATACACATTTGACCTTTTGGTTTAATCATGACCGTCGGTTCTAATAGAGTCCCAAACGAACAAAACTCCTCAAGGTAGATGAAAATGATAGGTGTACCCACATATTAATTAATTTTTTTCCCACTTATGGAAAGGGTTGCTTTTGGCCTTATTAGGTTTGATTAAGAATATAAACGTTGATTATTACAAAATAATCACGACAAAAAATGTGGACCCCCAGTGCACACGAAATGACCATTATACCTTCACAAAGGAGATATTGGATGGCAATTGAGAAGGGTGTTTTGGTATTTTATTCTGCAAAGTGTTAATATGCATTAATGGCTAACTAAATTATTCCTTAAGTCAGTTTAGTAATTGGGGTTATCGTGATGTAGCAATGCTATTGGAGTCTAATTTATTGACTTAATTTACTGACCTAATTCACTATGAGTTTTGGATTGATCGAGGGGCCATCAAACATTGAAACTTGGTATTGATCCAATGGTTCTACTAAAGTCATATCATTATGTCAACAATTAGATCAGATTTTTAGATCTAAATAGTATTACTCTATTATAATGATTATAACTTCGCATTAATCCACAAGAAGGAATGAAACATAAATGTGTTTAATTTCAAGATACTTATGGTATAAGTTAGATGGAAAACGAGAGCTAAGAGTAAGAGTAATATAGTTTATGATGATTTCCAAAATATGCTTATGGTTGAGCTCAGATATTTAGCTTGGACCTTCTAAGTTCAGATCACTCTGCCCTTCGAAGATAACTAGGGAAATTAAGATCGGCACTTCCTCCTCAGCAACTACACCTCCATAGGAATAGCATGGAAGACAGTTGGCTTCCACCTTAGCACATAACGTAACGCTCTTATATTTGAACAAAGAAGTCGTAACCGTCTCAACCATATCCATGGCAATTGCATAAAAAACGCAACCGTTACAAGAAGGCAAGAATCACACCAAGGATTAAACAAGATCTCAAAAGACTATAATAAGAGGTATATCCCTCACAATAAAAGCGAGATAATTAGCTTACGCCTTTCTTTGTGTAAATCCCTTTTTTTTATCAATAATATCATCCACAGGAACAAGAGACTCTCTTGAAAGTGGATTAGTCGAGCGTCCAAGCTAATAAACCACTACAAACTCTCTCTGTGTAATTTCTCACTTCTCTTGTTCAATTCTTAAGAGCCTTGGAGTTCTGACTGAGCCATTAAATGACTACTAATCCCTAAATATCATAAGTTTTGCTCAATTGTGTGACATAGACCATCACTTTCTATTTTTCTAAGTGAGGAATTCTCCTTCCCTCTTGCTGTGTTTGGTAGAAATGATTAATTTTTTGTGTTTAGTATGATGGAAAAAGTATATATATAATTAATTAATATGTACATATTATATAATAGATAAATATAATATATGTATATATTAAAAGACTAGTTTATGTGCACCTCAACTAATCCCCTCCCCTGTTTGGTCAAAGACAAGTCATTCACGTTGAAACTAGAGTATTTATGAGGAATAAATTCCTCATAACTTGACCCCAAAGGATTGCCAAAATTCAAACTCAGAATATCTGGGTTTATACCTCATATCTATTATCACTTGAGTTAGCATTTGAGATTTTTCCTATTTTTTTTTCTTACCGAATATAATGTTTTATCTATCCTTCCAACTTTTCATCCTACCTATTCTCTTTTCCTTTTATTTTTCTATCATATCGAACAAATAATTAGGAAAATTCACACAACTTGTTAATCAATCAGCCAAAAATTCTAGCTGGATGAAGACAATTTTTATTGGGAAATGAGTTCAGGTGAAACTTCCTTTGGAATGAGGACAATATTTATATTGTTAAGTTCCCTCGGCATGTATCCTTCATAAAAAAAAAGTCCTTACAACTCTGCCCACATCATCCTCAACAATACGTCAGTACCTTTGAAAAAAAAATGCTTGGGAAACTACTATCAGAGGCCTTGAGAGCCCCAACTTAAAAACAACAGTCTTAACTTCGTCGTCCATTATTGGCCTTAACAGCTGTAGATCCATCTCCTCAGTAACTTTTCCTTCCACAAACCCCAAAACCTCTTCAAAATCCCTTTGTTCCGGTACAGAGAATAGATTCTAAAAATGCTGTTTGATATAATTATTCAACTCCTCCTCATCATCTAACCAAGTTGCCTCTTTTATCTTCGGCCTCAGAATTTGGTCAATGAAGCACTAGTGCTTTTGCAAAATCTAGTACATTGAAGGGGCAACAATAAGGCTTCTGAAAGTAGAATGAAGAGTTTTACTACAGTATTTTATGCATCAAAACAAATGATAAACAAACCATATTTAGTAGAGTACCATTACCATCAATAATGTGTATAAGCTGAAGAAAATGAAGCATGGATGTTCTCTGTCGTCACGTTGCATTGATGACTAAACTGATAAAAAATACATATTTTAAAGATCAAAAATACTATTAACTCTTATTTATCAATTTCACAACAAATCATCCACTATATATGAGTGAAAAACCCACTTATAAGAGAGTGGATCGACTCCAATTCATTGTAATATAATCCACTGTTGAGTAGAAATTATAAATTAAAAAAAAACCCGGTAAAAAAGAGGCTCACGCCGTATGATTGGTACCAACAAAGAGCACAAACAAAATGCTTGCTTTTTCTTTTGCTTCCGACAATAACAGGACCTTTGAATATCGGAGAAGTCTATAGGATCAGAAAATACCATACCAAAATTCACTTTTGCTTTTTCTTTTGCTTTTTTTTTTTTGGTACCATAGTTTTCTTGTCGAATACCATACCAAAATTCACTTTGCTTTCCTGGAAAATGAAAGCAGAACCGTTTATTCTGACTTCTGCTGAATATGGTTTGATTTGTTCTTCTAGTGTAAAAACACAAGCACTTGTTGGCAGGCAGGGCCAACCTAAGACTTTGTCTGGTTATGTAGGTTTGGATAGCTCACTCAGCAGATAATCTCATTTGAATTTGTATGTATCGGTAGAGTATTTTAATAAAAGGAACATTTTATGGGAGAAACTTAATTCTATATCGGCTAATTTTTTAAAAGGATTTAGGTTTATATACTATATGGGCAGTGGCAAAGCTTCACCATGGCCTATGGCCCCCCTAGAATTTTTAGAATCCTTACAGTTGTAGTTTTTCTGTCCTCTTAAAAGTCTGTTAGTATAGAAATGGGTCCCCCAATAAAAATCTTTTTTTTGGTAATCCTCCAATAGAAATCTTCTTACAAATATAATGAATATTTGTGGGCCCCTTTAATCTAATAAACTATCTAGTAGAGCACTTACCAATCCTTTTATGATTGGCAAATTGAAAAGTTTCTTAATTATATGCTATTGAGAAGTCAACCTGGCAAAATAATTATCCCTTTCCAAGATTTTTTATATTTGGGAAAATTTCAACCACACTCCCGGTAGTTTATCATATCTTCAAAGACACCCCTCTAATTTTTAAATCTTCAATAACACCCCCTGTCAGATTAAAAATATTAAGTAGAATGTAATTTTACTAAATTTCCCATAATATATTTGAGTACAAATTTCATCCACACCCCATTTAGATAAACATATCTTCAGTGACACTCCCTCTAGATAAGTATATTTTCAATGAGACCCTCTTTGTTTTCTAATTATTTTTACTTAATTAAATTCAAATCGATTAAAATTCGATTCAAACTAATTAAATTTTATTCTTTTATATATTAAAATTTGTGCCAATTAAAAATTATATTTTTTTTACGTATTAGAATTTGGGCTAATTAAAATTTTGTTTGAGTCAATTAAAAATTATTTTTAATCAACTCAAATCAAATTTTAATTAATTCGAATTGTATTTTAATCAGCCTAAATTTTAATATATAAAAATATATGAATTTTAATTGACTTAAATTTTAATAAATCTAATTTTAATTGACACAAATTTTAATAAGAAAAAAATATAAATTATAATTGACTCGAAAGAGAATTTTAATCCTCCCTAACAACTCGGATAGAGTTCAAATCGGCTCAAATTTTAATATGTAAAAAAAATAATTTAATAGGATCTATTTTTTTAAAAAAATTTACTAATTAGTAAATAAAAAATTAGTATTTATTAGCAAATTATTTACTAAAATTGTTATTTATGATTTTTTTAAAAATTATAATAGCTCGAATTTTAATAAATTTTATGTAAAAAAATTACTTGAGGTTATGTAGGGGAATTTTTTGGTATTTTAGATGAATTTATTTTGTTAGAAATAATAGTTTAATGGTAAGAGGTGTTAGGGATGTTTAAATTAAACTAGAAGGGGTGTCATTGAAGATTCAGAAACTAAAATGGGTGTCCTTGAAGATATGATAAACTAGAGGGAGTGTCATTGAAATTTTCTCTTAATATTTTTAATTTAACAAGGGGTATCATTGAAGATTCAAAAATTAGAGGGGATGTCTTTAAAGATATGATCAACTACAGAGGATGTGGTTGAAATTTTCCCTTAGTCTTTTTGCGGTTTATAGTCTAACTCCATCCGAAGTCTATTTTTTAAAATTCAGACGCTTTTTACTGCTAAACTGCTCCCGCAAGAAGTCATCTGTTTTTTTTCCAAGATCAGGCTAAAATATATTCAATCTCTATTTTTTCTCTATTAATTAACAGGTTAGTGTTGGTTTTTTTTTATGGAGTCTAGTTTGTATATGTGGACACAAATACATGCATGTTATACTTGCGACTGGAGTCTAGTTTGTATATGTGGTGCATGTTATACTTGCGACTGCATGATTGTGTGTGTGTGAGAGAGAGAGAGAGAGAGTTTGGCGGGGAATACTTCTGCTGATATTAGAAAAAGGATGTGGGCTTTTGGAATCTTCTGCACGTTCAGATTGTTTGTTATGATGATAGGTGCCTGTTGGGAGGGAGGGGGGGGGGGGGGGATGCGTTAGAAACAGAGAACTGAAAGCCAGAACATACCACTCAAGTTGCCTTGCAAACCACGTTTCTTCTCCGCCAAAAACCTCTATTTATGGAGTTCTGTTCCTTGTAACACTTTTTTCTTCACACCACCTTTCAGTCTTTCTGTTACAGAATTCCTTCTTTCCTTCTCGCTGTCTCTTCATTTTATCTCGGAGCTTGTATAACTATCCCCACCACACCCCTAGTTTTCCTCTCTCATTATCCAACAATCTTGAACAGATTGGGTCTTTGATAAGCTAGATTTCTCTGCTCTTCCTCACAGTATTATTGAGATCTTTTGGTAGGTTCCCATTTCAAATTGAGAGGTTTGAACATCAGGGTTTATGCTCTTTGGCCTTTGTAGTTTCAGAATTTTGACCTTTTTTTTCTACCTCTGAAACTGTCAAAAATCTGAAAGATTTGAGCTTTGAAACAGTGTTTCATTGAGAAGCTATAGGACATGGAAAACGTTTCAGGCCTTGGTAGCGAAGATGAAAAAATGGAATTGCCTCCAGGTTTTCGATTCCACCCAACAGACGAAGAGCTTATAACTCATTATCTCGGCCAAAAGGTCCTTGACCAGACCTTCTGCCCTAGAGCAATTGGAGAGGTTGACTTGAATAAGGTTGAACCTTGGGATTTGCCATGTAAGTCTTTTTGATCATTCTCTCTCTTCATTTCTGTAATATTTTTCTTCATTAAGCATGTTCAAATTGCATTTGTTTTCTTCTAATTTTATTATTTGTGATTCTTTGAACATTAAGGGAGGGCGAAAATGGGTGAAAAAGAGTGGTATTTCTTCTGTGCTAGAGATAGGAAGTACCCAACTGGTTCGAGGACAAACAGGGCTACTGATGCTGGCTATTGGAAGGCCACAGGGAAAGACAGGGAAATTTTCAGAGGGAGAAAACTTGTTGGGATGAAGAAAACTTTGGTTTTCTACAAAGGCAGGGCTCCTAGCGGAGCAAAAACCAATTGGGTCATCCATGAATTCAGATTGGAGGGCAAGTCTTCCATGAAAAACCTTCCTGAGGCAGCTAAGGTAAGAAAAAAAAAATCATACTCTGTTTTCCCCTCTGTTTCAATAGACATGCCTGTAATATAGTTTTGGTAAATGGACGTAGATACGATGTGCCGATTCATACTCTGTTTTCCTCTGTTTTTCAGAATAAATGGGTGATTTCCAGAGTATTTCGAAAGAGTTCAGGAGGGAAGAAGACACATATCTCAGGGCTGGTCAGTTTAAGCAGTTATAGTGATGAATTGAGGTCTTCTAATTTGCCTCCATTAATGGATTTATCTCCTTATGATGGCCAGACAAGTACAGTTGCAGAGTCTTCTCACGTGACCTGCTTCTCCAATTCAATGGAAGATCAGATACCCCAAGGAGCTATGGGTCCTTCATCTTCTTCAAAGACTTCTGATATTTCCAATTCTTCATTGTTTTTGTCAAAAGGCTCTGCTACAAGCTCATTCTTTTCCACCCAACTTGAATTTGATCCACATGTAGAAATTCTGCAATTTTCGGATTCATTTTTGATGCAAAATCAGTCAACACCTAGGCTTTTGCTTGAGAACAATGGGACAAACTTGAAGCAACATTGCAAAGCAGAGTTCTCACATGACACTGGCTTGAGTACCGATCTCTCATCGGCACTGTCCAACCATGAAATGGATCAGAGGTTTTATGAAGATGAACATTATCCAATTACTTCAGCTGGACCAGTGGACCTTGACTGTCTCTGGGATTTTTGAATTTGAAGATAGAGAGTAGCTAGTGAAGAAGCTTAAGAATGTAGTGAAGAAACCAAGTGTTTAGAACATGATCTTCTGGAAATTGTCATTGATAACTCATAACTGCTGTTTGTGCATAGATTTTCTGAACAGAAAAACACGCAGAAGAGGAAATGGCTTGTATAATTTGAATCAGTTCATAGCTTTATCCATCAATATCATCATCAACAATTCTAATATTATCTACTCAAAGCTTTTTTTTTTCATTTTATGTAAAATAATTCTAATGTTCATTGCACTGATGTCAATATAAATTGCTCAGTATACAGTGAGAACTCAGTATATAGAAGGATCTCTCTCTCTCTCTCTCTTCAATAAATTTTAGGACTGTATGGTTGGCCACCAACCAAGTATTAATGGCTGATTAAGAATATATGATAGAATTTGCAAGTATGTCACGTTATGAAAAGCAACTCACAACCAATAAGCTTTTACTCAGAATAGAAATTGGTTACAACGGTTTTTTATCATAGGTTTTAATCAAGAAAATAGTTTTTTTCGCACACGAGTAAGTTTGTGCACTATTTTTTTTTTTTGGTTAATTGCCATCGGATTCACTCAATCTCCGAGACTAATTATTTCCCTTTATGTGGTGGTCGTCATGCTGGTTAGTGAAATCGGTATACAATATCTCGCTCTCTCACACACATATTACGAGTCTATAGTTTGACAGTTAATAATAGTTCAAAAATAACAAGTTAGATATTTTTTGAGTGTGTAATACGTTGACAAGTAGCTGGCACAAAACAATTGGCATTAGATAATAGTTTTTTTTTTTTTTTTTTTGCTGGTGGGCATTAGATAATAGTTGAATGAATACGATTTACCACATCATTAATATTGTTGACTAGCTTTCTACATGTTTTGTATCATCAAGCTGCTGCTTGGTCTACTTGGTTTGACATTTTCAATTTGTAAAGCTTGGTTTTGGTGGATGGGAATGGTAGTATATTAATTTGTTATTCCTCCCATTTATCTATTGGTAAGTGAGATATCGCTTTCATTGATGTTTCATGCCCAAATAAACTAAACCAAGTTCTATTTGATCACTTATTGTCGCTCTAAGTCTGATCTCTTCCAAACCTTTCTATGCACGAAGGAATTCTCTCTTATATGTTGATATAATTTAATTTGATTGGCCACTGTATTTACAAAATAGCTAAAAATTTCGAAAAGCACCAACAATGTTATTTTTTGCATAAGTGATTTTCTTAGTGTAGTAAAGAACCATAATACACTACATATAGTGAAAACTATTATTCTATTGTCATCGCTTTTCAAGAGATATGAGGAGGGCAATGACAAATATTCATCCGTCCAAACATAATTTACCAATTCGAATTCTAGAATTAAACTGTTGAAAATAAGAATAAGATTATATACAAATTTCCTCTTCCAATCATGTTTGTATTGTCACCATCTTAATGAAGATAAAACCTCATAAAAAAATTCAGGAAACAACAACCAGCTGTCGACCTATCAAAACCTTCGAGCCATTATGTGGTTGTGAGTCTTCCAATAATTTGTCAAGGATTTTTTGATCTCCACAACGTATTTTCATTCGACCCACACGAAAAATATTTTAAAAAATTCCATCATAAGGTTTCACAAACATGCATGTACCACTAGACATTTCCCTCGGACAACAATATAGGACTTGTACAATATACATGGAGCAGGATTAAGCTGGGGGCGGCTCAACATTGTTATTAAAAAGATTTGGGTTTTAAGCCTCATTTTTGGAGTGGTTCAAATTTTTAGATATCATAAATAATTCATTTAAAAAAATTAAATTCAGAAATATTTTAAACCCTACAAAAAGGCCTTATAAAAACACAGGTCCAATCAAAAAAAAAAAAAATTAAGCCCCATAATTTATAAATATGCAATAATAGTCTAAACAAAAAATTTAAATTCACGCCCAAATTAAAATTTTCAACTCAAGTAGATTGGGTCTATTGATTCAGCTATGAAATTAAAAAGTCCTAAAATTTATTTTTTCAAATAAAAAAAAAATTAATTATAATATTAAAGCTACTGAAAAATCTAGATTTAACCCCCCAAAAATGTCAAGTTTAAACTTACCGTCATAATTTTTCAATCATTATTTTTCTCTCTCTTACCATTAAGTTCAAATATGGTAACAAAAACCTATATATAAAAATTTATTTAATATTATTGTATTTAAAAAAAATAAATTTATTCTTAATATTAAAAATAAAAAATCTTTTTCTGATTTAGGTCCCAAAATATCTTGAGCCACCCCTAAATTGAGCATAGGGTTATGGTAGGAATTTATAATTGAGCACTCAATTATATTTCGAGGTCTCTTGTTTGATTCTCGTAAAATAATTTTGGACTGTCTAGAGACATATGATGATATGATATGGTTTCTTAATCATTAAAATTTAACAATGAATTAAAAGATGCACACTATAGATTTTGACTAGGAGCAAATAGTTGCCATACACACTTATTTTTGCGATCTCAAGTCGGTGGATGGGCCTATTTACTTGTGTTTTCTCGTTATATCAACCAAAGATATGTTTATTGATCATAGAATGAGAATCGTGAAATATATGTTTGACCAATTATAATCACTTAATTGTGGAAACTATCAAAACAAAAGAAGTGAAGTGTTTATGATAAAAAGATCAGCGATATGCAATTTGTCGTTGGATTGTTAAGTCACAGATTCGAACCTCACCACCCCTCCTATGTAAAAGTTCAAAATGGTGACCCAAAAAAATGCGTTTATGATAAGAACTATGTAGAAATTCAATTGTATCCTCCAAAGCCAGTACAAGTTAACAATGGTGGCCATAATTTGAGAATGTTGTCTAGGTTCATAGGTAAGGACAAGTGGGTTTCCATGTTTTTACTCCATGTTTGATGTTTCCTGTCCATCCTTAGCCGGCATGTGATCCTGTCCAGTGGGAATGTGAATGAACATAAAACAAAAAAAAGGAGAAGCTAAGAGGTTGGATTGGTTACTTTCTCTCATCCTTATCTCCGCATGCAAATCTTATTTTCTCTTCTTTGCCCAAACCTTTCAATTTAATATCTAAATGGCTGGAGATCAAACCTTCCGTGCATTATTTCTCTTCTCTTTCTTCTATTTTTTACCATACATTCATCTTAATATTCAAAAAATTAAATTAAATAATTCGGTCATATTAATAGACATTATTTTATGATACCTGTAAACTAGTTATAATAATTAGTCAAAATATACTTTTTTATTATATTATCTATTTTAAAAAATAATTTTTACTAATTGACTCTAACAACGCTCTCTATTTTAACTAATTATTTTAACTAACTATTAATAATTAAAATCTAAACAATCGAAGAAACTCACAAATCCACAAATTCTAATGATATAGGAATAACTCATAAATTTTAAAAAATTCAAATTACAAATTAGAAATTTCAAATTACTTCTAGAAAGAGAGATAATTCGTTTGATTGTTGGTGCAATTTTAGTGGGGTTTTTGGTCTGATTTTTAGTGCAATTGCAGTGGGGCTTTCGGTGGGGGTTCCAATGGAGTTTTCGATCTTGTTTAAGGGGGGTTTTGGTGGATTTTCAGTGGGAGTACAGAGAGAAAGATGGGAGCCGAGAGATAGAAGTCCATACCTGGGTCTTGGACGAAGATGCACAGCCAGCCTTCCTATATGAGTCTGGATGGAGACGATGAGGGGATGTGGAATTAGAAAAATGGTGCAAAAAAAAAAATAATAGGTAATGGTTGTTGGCTCGTCAGATATAACTAGTAGAACGAGAGTTATGTAAAATAACTAGGGGAACAGCTAGTTTGTTGGAAGCAAATTTTAGGGTTGGACTAACTAAAATAACTAAGAATAAACTTTAAAGAGCTACTTAGAATTACACTAAGAAAGAGTCAAACTGACATTATAAACCTACATAATCGAAATCTGCCCCCCCAAGGTGAGGGCAAATTTCAAGAGAATATATATGGTATTATCAGTGGTATCGTATAAATATTTAAGATTATGTTGTAATTTTTTATATATAAATTATAAATTGTCTATGATCGTTCACAACATTTATAATTTTTTAAAATTAAGTTATAAAATTTAAATGTAAAATTAAAACTTATCAGAAAAAAATTACAATTATTCAAATAAAATTTATGATCAACTATAATTATTTATAATTCATCATGCACTTCTCTCCAATACTTATCGCTTCTCAACTAAATTAAGCTAACATGTACATGGGGACTCCCACGTTGTCTTTTTCCTCATTGCATGTGGTGGCCCACTTCCCGTACCACCAATTATGGGACACTAGGTCCGGGTCCGGGTCCGTATCCGATTCCGAGTCCGAGTCTGCGTCCAGGTCCATGTCCGAGACCTCATGATAGTTAACGTGATCTCCACCTCCGAGAAAAAAAAAAAACATTCTAATCATTGAGTGGAGCCAATTTCACTGTTAAAAATTCCAATCAAACTATCTTAAATCAATTTTAAATACACAAACTCCTGATATACATAGACAACAGAAACTCGTGAACTTAATTGATTTTTTTATTTTTTTGAAATTTTAATTAATGTGAAATCAATTAAAAGGCTTAAATTGTCATAGGGATGACATTATCTTTTTATTGATGATTTTATTTTACACACTTTAGTATTACTGTAAAGAGTATTCTAGAAAATGTTTTACTTTTTGAATTATGTCATTATTTTTATTTGTCTTACTTATGCTACTGTCTTATAAATGTAAGAGAATCTTCGTGTTATTTTTGAAATGTTATAGAGGTTATGATTTTATTTATTTATTTATTTACACATTTTAGTCTTACTGTAAACAGTGTTCTAGAAAATGTTTTAATTTCTGAATTATGTCATTATTTTTATTTTTCTTTCCTACGCTAATGTCTTGTAAATGCAAGAGAATATTCGTGATATTTCTAAAATGTTTTAGAGGTTATTGTATTAGTTTGGTTTTTTTTTTGGGTTTTTGACTGTGTGTACAATTTTTTAGACTTCTTTGAGGAAAAATATATGGATAAGTTATTTACTCTATTAAATTTAATTTTAATAAAATATATTGTGTTTAGGTACAAAAATTCAAATGAAATCATAATTGTTTTACCTAAATAAAATTCCTTAAATTTATGCATTCTTTATTGACATTATATATCTAATCAAATATGTAAATATTTCAACTTTCTCACTATCTCTTCCCTATTTTCTCTCTATATCTATCATTGATAATTTATTTTCTTTTCAAATATGTAAAGATTTAATTTATTTTTTTATCTCTCTCTCTCTCTCTCTATTTATATCAACATTGCAATAACACAATTACACTAATCAGTTATACCAATAAGTTACAATTGTCTTATAATACATCAAACAGTTACTCATGCATTCTAATAAACCAAAAATAATTACACCAAACAATTATACAAATTTATAACATCAACTTAATTTGTCATTCAGTTGTTTACATAAACTAAATAGTTGCACTATTTAGTATCGCGACATCATTACACCAATCATATATATCAAATTTAATATAATGGTAAAATCTTTTGTGTAATGATAAACTCAATTTGTTGTAACTTTTTGATTTATGTAAATAACAAAATGACAAATTGTGTTGGTGTTATAATTTCGTATAATTGTTTAGTGTAACTAGTTGGTTTATTAGAACACATGAGTAATTGTTTAATGTATTATAAGATAATTGTAACTAATTGGTATAACTAATTAATGTAATTGTGTTGTGTAACGTTAACATAAGGAGAGAGAAAATGAGAGAATAAGGAAATAAGGGGAGAGGGAGAGGGAGAGGGAGAGGGAGAGGGAGAGAGGGAGAGAGAGAGAGAGAAAAAATAGGGGAGAAAGAGATGAAAAAATTAAATCAAATCTTTACATATTTAAAAAAATTATCAATAAGAGAGAAATGAGAGAAAATAGGGAAGAGAGAGTGAAAGAGTGATGGAGAGAGAGCGTAATGGAGTAATAAATATCATTTTAGTATTTTTTCAAAAAAAAAATGCACTTAGAGCTAAACAAGTTTATTTAATATACTTTAACTCAAATAAGTCTAAATTTTTATTCCGATTTCTAAATTAACCTTTTTTCCCAACTCTATTAACAGGTCATACAAACAAATTGCTCTCATGGAGGCCCATTCTTGGTGGGCCATTCACTCCCAACAGTATGAATGGTCATGGGCTCTCATGGGCCGTCCATCCTTGGTGGGCCATTTAGCTCGAACATCAAATATTGGTAGTTAGGATCACCCACAAATGGTTGAAAATGGGCCAGGCCAAAAAAATTTCAGAACATGGTTCCCTTTTATTCTGAGCAACAATGTACAAACACTACAATATATGGTGTTGAAACTACCGGTAGAACAGCCATTGTATGGCTACGATAAGATGTAGGTTCCTTGTCTTTGTACCAATCTTATGTTTGGATTGAACATTAAGGTATGATATTAAGTTGAAGGGTCTTATTACAATCCCGAAAATTACTTTTTTAATACCGTATTTTCACTTTTGACCAATAGAAATGCACCATATGTAAAATAAATTATTTTATGATTTTTGATTATTTTATGATTTTATCAATCAATAATTATAAATTATTCAATTCAATTCAATTCAATTCAAAATAGATAGCCAAAATTAATGGAGGCACCCATAACTTACTACCCTAAATTGAAAATGATAGAAGCAACGTTGCATTCAATCAAATCAAAAAACCTAGTCAAGTTTGGATCTCCCAAGTTATATATTTTTAAGAACTTAATTAGGGACTTAATTCACTATAATTATTGAATTAATTATAAATTTTAATATTAGATAAAGTCTACTTTTAATTTAATAGTCATAATTACGTAGATCATTAAATTAAAATATAAATACTATTTTCTTTAATTGCTCATAATTTTATAACAACAAACATTGTTGTGTGTCGAGTCCTGCATCAAAAATTTTGTGAGAGATTTGGTGTATATATTTAAAAATAATGACCTACTACTTCTTTGTTGGCCTTTTGGGTGAGTTGTCATGATTATTACAGTTTTTTTTATTATAGATTTTTTGAAAAATATGATTCATCATCATTAATAATACAAAACATGATATATTTCGATAAACTCATTTGTCGGTCTTAAATAAACTTATCTAACGGTCACCAACATTTTTTTCAAAATCATTCACGTTGAATTTTTCTCTGTCCCAAATTTTTTACTTCTCATTTACGTTACATCGTGCCTTCAGACACGGATTACCTCTAGTTTATTTATGATCTATAATATAGAATAAAACAGATTTCATTAAGTCCATCTAACAGTCTTAAATAAACTCATTCAACTGTCAGTAACAATTCATCTCAATACTATTTACATTACACTATATCTTTGAACACATATTATCCCTAATATATATTTATTGCGCATCCCACGATCCCTTGCACAAGGGGAAAAAGGCTAATATGTGTTTCAAAATAGATAGAAAAGGACGTTCTATAACGAGATGTGCGATTTATAATTTTACCTCTATTTCGGAAAGGTTATTGGCGAATGTTTATTATCATTCCGATTCGAATCTCATATTAAATCATGAAAAAATTGAATGGCATGTTTTTTCTTCTTTTTTTTAATATCTTATCTGTCCCAATGAATCCACTAAATTATTATTGAGCTTTGGCTAGAGTCATCCGTCCACATAAGGGATAAATCAAAGGATAGTTATCCCAAAAAACAAACGCACATGAAATATTCGAATCTTTGTCCCATGTCTCGTCAAGTCACTAATCGTGTGGCTAAGTTTGTTTTGGGGTTTTTAATGACATCTTTATTCAAGAGTTAATGGTCAATAACTTGATTTTGACACCTAGGGGGGTCTAGAGGAACCCATTGGCTACATGGGCGCATCAATGCAGGCGACGTGCATTGAATGGGGATAGTTCGAGGATCATAAAGATAGATAGTTTACCGTATCTTCAACGGCAACTTTCCTACTTTTGAATTTTTAATGACATTTCTTTTAGTTTAATTTAAACATCACTAACACCCTCTACCTTTAAACTATTATTTCTAACAAAAAAAATTCACCAAAAATGCCCCTACATAACCTCAAATAATTTTTTTACATAAAATTTTAATAAAATTCGAACTATTATGGTAAACTAGAAGGGGCGTCCTGAAAGATATGATAAACTAGAGAGAGTGTGATTAAAATTTTCCCAAATTCTTTTGAAATATTATAAATTTAGTCGGTGTAGAAGACAACTCATTATTGTGGGTATCAATAGAAGACAACTCATTATTGTGGGTATCAATATAATTAAATGTATATAATTTTACAATATATATATACTAGTCATAACCCGTAAAATATAAAATTCGAGCGTCTAAAAAATCGATCACATTATATTAATTTTTTTAAAATATATTAACTACAAATTAATTAAATATTAAATAATTAAATATGTGATAAAAATGAGTGATGTGATATTTTTAAGAAATAAATATATAAATGATTAAACATATGATAGAAATAAGTGATGCAATTTGACGTTTGAGTCTTACAAAAGGATGATGGGTGAAGTGATTGATGATGATTTTGAAGGAAAAAATATGACTGGAACAAAATTTAAACACACTTCTATTTTATTTTATATATATATATATATAATATGACAAATTTTAATAATTAAAATGTCAATTTAGACCTAAATTATGCAAATGATTATTAAGGATAGTTCTGTCATTTAATATTACATATTAAACTGATCAAATTAATAACTTTGTCCCAATTGTGTCGCTGCTGAACTTTCTTCTCTGCCCAACCCCCCTTTCCTTTTTCCTTTCTCTCCGTCCAAGCTTTGTTAGTTGTTACATATAAAGAGCAGAGAAGCTACGATCTCCTTGGCTGATTTCAGTAGCAAATGGGTCGATCTCTATGTCCTGATAAGGTTGGTCTAAAGAAAGGACCATGGACACCTGAAGAAGATCAGAAACTCTTAGCTTGCATAGAAGAACATGGCCACGGAAGCTGGCATGCCTTGCCGGCAAAAGCTGGTGATTACGCTGATACTTCTCAACAATTACATTAACAAAACTTTTCACTGCACACAAGAGCCAATACATGTTCAACCATTTTTTAATTGTTGATTTTTATATATATTATAGGACTTCAGAGATGTGGGAAGAGTTGCAGATTGAGGTGGACAAATTACCTTAGACCCGATATTAAGAGAGGAAAGTTCAGCTTACAGGAAGAACAAACCATCATTCAACTCCAAGCTCTGTTAGGGAACAGGTTCAGTATAATTTCTTATTCTTCTTCTTCTTGACGCCGTGTCCTTATATGACTGATTGTCTTGTCCTCAGGTGGTCGGCTATAGCCACTCACTTGCCCAAAAGAACAGACAATGAGATCAAGAACTACTGGAACACTCATCTAAAGAAAAGATTGGATAAATTTGGGGCTGATCCACTGACTCACATACCCAAGAGCAATGCACCCTTGACCAGTGACGGTCAGTCCAAGACCGCTGCTAACCTTAGCCACATGGCCCAATGGGAAAGTGCCCGTCTAGAAGCCGAAGCAAGGCTGGTTAAGCAATCCAAGCTACGTTCAAATTTACTCAACAATCCTCTCGGATCGACGGAGTTTGCTCCGGCTTCAAGCCCTCTTAACAAGCCGGTGGCGCCGCCTGAACCACGGCTTTATCTTGACATACTAAAAGCATGGAATGGTGTATCGACTAAGCCAACTAAAGGTGGTAGAGCAGGTGGTGATATTATTAGTCTCAGAACCACCGGAGTTGGCAATGACCTTGAGTCGCAGACTTCTACACTTAGCTTCACCGAGAATGCGCCAGCAATTCAGAGAACCAGAATTGGGGGGAGTCCCACTACTTTCACAGAGTTTATCGGAAACTCGGGGTATTGTGATCAAGGTCGAAAGAAAGAAGAAGGTGATGAAGATTATAACCATTTGCATGAACATAAAGATGGAACGGATAGTTTGATGCCCTTTACTTTTGGCCTTCTTGATACGACCACGTCCATTGACAATTCATGGACTCCTCCTGAGTCGCCCAGAACAGATCATGAGTGTGTTTGTGGTGACAATTTTGTTAAGGGGTTCCCTGAACTTTTGCTTAATAATTCCGGTGGCCGGAGTTCCTCTGAGGGTGGCGTAGAGTCTATCTATGGCAATGACGGTGGAAGTGACTGTATGCATTATGATACTAGATTTTTTGTATCGGATTAAGTCCCCCAACTAAATACTACTGTAATTATGCTTTCCTCTTTACTTTTGTCTCTAATTTTTTTTTTCTTTTTAGGTTCTCAAGAGTAGAGAAAGTCCCCTGGATAGCCCATGAATAATTCTCGGATCAAAAATCTTTACAGTAAACAGATATGTTCCAATGGAAGATGCATTAATGGTAGCCTTTATTGCGGTTGGTTTCACGTCACATTCTAGCTTAGAAGAAAAGCCCCAAAGTCTTTGTGTGCTTGGCTGTCAAGACTCGAGAACATTTGAAAGATCTGGAAAGCATTTAGATATTAAGTAAATGAAAACACACACTTACAATCAAAACTTACATCGAGAGAGAGAGAGAGAGAGAGAAACACAAGATCCACCTGCCATGGCATGTTGAACTGTCACTTATTTTGACAACTCTAAAGGGTAGTTATACAAGTTATAAGATGAAAAAATTGTACAGTGAGGGGGACATTTAACCAGAATCACCGTCTTTACATGTGATTTATCAATGTTTTATAATGAAATGAGACCACATTATCACCACATTATAAATCCATGATGACATCTCACATTTGTCTAGTGTCAATTTTGGATTGTGTCAAAATTAACTCAATGCATACACAACTTATTTTTATTTGTACATATTCAAATCGTTATCGTGTCATATATTTTTAAATTTCTGTAATTTATAACTTAGATTTGTTCAAGTGTCCACCACTGAACCATCATTGCAAAGATTCCAGTGAACTATATGCCCTGCCGGATGCTTAAAACAACGTACTGCTGTCCAATATTAGTTTAAAAACCAATTTTCAACCAGTGAGCAATACAGAACACAACAATCATTAAACTGCTCAGATCAGCAACATGGGTCTTCTTCTTCACACAGCTCTTTCGTGGTACACAATATTCTTTTATAGATTCTAAATAATAATTCACTGGATCAAATCAGTATAGACTATACTATGCATCAATTTCATCTTTTGTTCCACAAATCCAACTGATTTCTCGTCGAGGGGAAAAGCCCTAAACAATGTGAGGGTTTTACAGGCAGCAGAATCATATTGCGATCAAGCTGCAAAGCGGATCCCATCGTTTAATTTCGCACATTTAAGATTAGGCTAATGTACATCTAGTTGTCACAGAGCCTTTAGTACTTGTGCAATGCAATTATTTTGTCAAATCTAGGCAGTATGCACACCAATACATGAAATTCAATCCAATATGTAATGTAATAAAAAAAAATGAGGTTTTTTTTATCAACAAAATCAAATCTTTATCAAGAATCAATAAAAACTATGTCCTTAATAGTCCCACCGCCCGTTCATTCTCACCTAATTGTTTCACACCCAATACAACACATACATTTTATCTATATTCAAGGTCCTGCAAGCACTGCCACTACCAGCGGGTATAGCAAAGAGGTTTCTTTTTACATTATAATCAACCACCAAGTAGCAACCATTTAACAAGGACAATACGAGACAGAAAGATTCATGGCACAATCTAATAATTTCAATGTCAAAAAATTGAGGTTTGAATCGAAGATCCACTACCAGGTCAGCCCAAATGATTTTCCTCACCCTATAAGGGAATATATATGCGAACCAACTCTCTCCTTTTTTTAAACAAAAAGGCAGAAAGAAATAGATTGTAATGGCGTTTGGAGGCGGATTTGTGTAAAGACTAAGTGGATAGTGTGCAAAGCAATTTTGGCTTAAAAGACCAAAAATCACGTTCCACAAAAACCCACTTAAAGCACAAAACCCGTACTATGATGCCATCATATTCCCGAGGGAAAAATTGCTGTGTAGGGCTTCGAATGGCAAGGCACCCCACAGAGAACCTGCAGATTTTTAATAGCTAGAAAGAAGTTGATTAGCTATCCCTTTTTGCCTCAAGCCCTTCTGGGTATACCAATTTTTGACAATTGCAATTTATTTATATGAGCTCCAAAACATATGGAGAAAACTACCAAAGACATCGATTATAACTGTACGAGGGACCTTAGGTGAGATGGCCAACAAAAATTCCAATCGAAGAACACTAATTTTCAGTAATAACACCACTGTGACATTTAAAGAACATCACTAAATTGTTAGATATCCACGCAACTGAAAAAAAAAAAACAGGTTGAACATTCAAATCGGAAGTGTCTTTCGTTCCGACATAGAGTTTGCAATTACCAGAACAAAACAATTATACGAGATTGATTACCTCTGAAGACACCGTAGCTCGTCGTCGAGGAAGGAGTGAAAGAGGGTTGTTGCCTGTTTATATACAAAAGTTTTTTGCGACTGCTGCGAGACTCTGAATTAGGGCATTTTGAAGTTGGTTATACTTTATGTGTTAGACCGAACTGCCCTTATAATTCAGCCTGCTCTTTTTTTGTGGCTTTGAGCCCTATTGTTCTTGGGCTGGTTCGACACCAAAAGCCCATCCGTTTTACCTATGGGACTCACACTAGCATCAAATTGGTATGGGCCACTACTCGGAGTGGGACCAAGCCTTCTCTTACTCATAACTTGGTATGGCCCACTGCTCGTGCCTCATGCACATTGCATAACATGACCAAGTGGACGCAACAAGAAATCTTTCATTCTCCTACAAACAGAAGTGCACAGTATAAGAAAGCATTCGTATGGAGATTGGAATACACTGCCAAAGATCACAGAGTAAGTCTAACGATACAATTGAAGGTAATTTACTGGTTTTCACCTCCAATCCCCAATGGCCATGTCGAGTTGTGCTTGTGTTTACTTTGGCCTTTTCCATCCTTGAAGTGCCGTTCATATCCCGAATTTACCGGCGTACCTCGAACGGTTTTGCCGAGTACTGGCAGTGCCGTTAAAGCCAACTCGGCGGCGCTGAGTCACGGATCATTCAGAGGTTGGGCTTCTATGATTTTCAATTCCTTCCGAATTTGAATTGCAGCAACATTGGTGTGGCTCGGATGGTGGCTGATTCGCCGTCAAACAACCAAGCGATCGAAAATTTTAGCTCTGATGGTAGCATCACAGTTCATGCCGGTACATATTATATTCATAATTCACATATATTTGTGTGTGTTTATATAATAGTGTATGCATGCTAGTGCACGTATGTAATAAAATCTTGAAATTTATGTTGAAACAAAAGAGTCTAGCAATGAATTTCTCCTGACCGATGTTTGGAAGATCCGAAGCAACGCCCATTCAAGTTCTTTCAAGGGGTCACACTAGTCTGTATATTGTCTCTGGCAGCCCATTTTGTGGTCTTGATTTGACTCATATGAATGAGAAAGATAATCTTGCTGAACAATATATTATTTTGTTTTTGCCTAATTTTTTACCTTTCTTTTTTTCCTTGGTGTATATGCTTGACAAGCACTTGAAGAAGATGAAAATAAGACTTAGAAACACCATATTTTATTTTATCAATATATTTAAATTTCATTATGTGTAGTTACTGCAATAAATAATCTTTTGATTCCAAGAAATGATTTGCCTTTTAGTGTGTTCAGGTGAAAGACTGGGTCGCGGTATTGTTACAGATCCAATAACTACCCCAGTAGTTAACACATCTGCCCACTTCTTCAAAAAAACTGCTGATCTCATTGAGTTCAAGGTGTGAATCATGGTTACGTTTGCTTGTTTGCATCATTGTCCAATTTTTTTGGTCCCAATAGCATTACTTAAAGTCCAAAAGGGCCATGTCATTGTCACAACATTAGGTTTGTTTTTTTTTTTGGTCTCAATAACATTACTCATCAGGAAACCTATGGTAGTCAGAAAACGCTTGATAAATGGTTGTTTTTTTCAGGGTAGCAATGAACGTATAATCAAAAAGGGTAAGTATTGCCATTGCAATCTTGCAAGCTGAGAGATTTGTAACAGCTCTCAAGCAGAAGGCCCTAGCTCTTGGGGCTGATCTTGTTCTGCACTCTGCAACAAAATTCATTGCGGGCCACAATGATATAGGCTAGCTTTGATTCATGAATTCTGTTGATTGAGAAATTCATAACTGAGAGACTATTCTATATAGAGCATTAAAGGGTTAAACTATGTCAATTCCTTCTGCAGGTCCTTGCAGGTTGTATTAGTGGCTCTGATAAATTGATTTCAGCAGTTCGTAACTTGCATTACATTCTGGGTGATGCTCTCAACCCGAGTTATTTTTCTTAAAGATTCTTGTGGCCTGATGCTGACGTTTTAAACCTTACTTTGCTTGTATCAGTAAGTAGATGCATTATGTAATTCACAATCCATCATGTGAAAGAGCTGTTAACTAAATTTTAAATTTGTACTCTCACTATGCGACTTCAGCTGCATCCCAATGAATGTATTTCATTCTTTCTGTTATCAGAATGCTGCAAATCTAATCATCTGAGGCTTGAAGACACTGCATCTTCCCGTGCAGCAGCAAAATTCAACTGCATTAAGGATGAGATTTTAGAGGCACATCCCAAGGTATTTAAACTACACTGGAATTTTTTGACTCCATTTCTTTCCCCTGTAAAGTTTCTTCTGATGTGAAATCTCATTCAGAATACTTTTGGTTGCTATTGTCACAATAGAATTAATACTAAGGTGCATAACTTTTGTTGTTTACATTTTTTTCACTCTTTCAGAAGAAATGCTTCCTGCCTTTTTTGTGTTGATCTTGGGGGCTCTCTATGGGTAACTAAAAACCTTAGCTTGTATGCATATTGAGATATGAGTATCAGTACTTACAAAAATGACAATTTTAAGTAGACTGGAGTCTTCACCGAGAATAGCACTCCTGATAAAAGACATCATCTCTCCTCCTATGAACAATTAGTGGTTGGAAATCAGACTTGATAGTAACTCAAGTAATTTCTAGATCCTAATACATACTCCACCAGTCCACCTGTGAAAGATGAACCAATTTTCTGTTTGCAACTTGTCTGCTCATACACCTGCTGGTGCACTGCCATGCCCTAGTCAAGTTATCTTTCTCTTTTATGCCCAACTAACACTAATTATTGTTTGCTTCCTTTGGACTCAGTTGGTTCTCAGTTTAGCTTGTACTCGATTGCCATTATGCTGCTTAAGTTTATGTCTTCAGTCGTTAAGTAACCAATCCAGTAGTTCTTTCCCGTTAGAAGCTGTATGGTAATTTTAGCATCAAAGCACTTTATTACTCTTCTATTACCATTTCTTCTTCATTATTGGGAAAAAATGAGAAATAAAGATATTGAGAAATATATCAGTCAAGTGTTTTCTTGGTAATATTGGGGCACTTGTTATTTAACAACTGATAAATATGATTTATAGGTCAGGCGTTTCTATTATCCAGGCTTGCCAGGATATCAAATTGCAAAGCGGTAAATGACTGGTTTTGGCAGCGTGGTCAGTGTTGATGATTGCTGTTGTGACTTGTTGGTGTACCATTTTCTAGTCCGACATTAGTATTCTGGTTTATTCCTCCCCAAAATTCATCAATATAGAATCATTTAGGTTGATGGAGACTTGATGACTTCTGCAAAGTTCATTGATGTTAGTAGGTTGTGAGAGCATTGTGCAGCAGCCAGCTATTATGTCTTACTGGTATGCCCTTTCATTTCGGTATAAATACTATGGTGGCTGATTTCGGTAGATACACAATGAAGATTTGTTGACAAATTTGTGTGCTTTATCTATATTTGGAGGACACAAATGTAGTTAACGGTGAGATTTGCCCGCCTATGGGAACAGGGATCTTTCCCCATCAGAGAGAGCCAAGTATGGGATCATGGACAACTTGGTTCGTTTCAGCTTTGGAGTTGAAGATTTTGAAGACTAAATGCTGATGTGCTTCAGGCTCTGGGGACCATATAGAGCGGCTCACCACTGCTGCATTATTTTCCTTTATCTCTCGTGCTTTCTATTTCTCCCGTTCTTGACATTCTGTTGATATTCTAGTTGTTGTTATGTAATGAAATGTTCCCCTTTGCTGTAGTTGAAGGATCATCAACTGGATGATCTTATTAATTGCTGGTCCAATGTCGTATTGTAGTATTTTGGTTTCTGGTTATTGCAAGAAGTAAATTAAGGAGGAAGTCCATCTATTGAGCTTACGGACAGAAGAGAAGGCGTGAATCATTAAATGTACCTATTCAAATGACTCGTTGCACCCCCTAATGATAGTAACTTGGTGGACTATTAAATACGGAATATAGAACTATCACGCGAATGAGAGAAATTTGGGATCGGGTATCATTTGCTATGATCTCCTCAGTTAAAATCTCGGATTTATAACTGAACGAGAATTGTTGTTGCGATTTCTAAATGAAATTCAATTTTCATGTTTCCCGAAGTATTAAATAAAACTAAAGGCATGGAATGAGTAGAGAAACACAATTGATGAGATGAATTGTAAACTGACAAATCATTTATAATCTACTAAATCATTGTTGGTAGTTTCGTATTTAAAGTTAAATTACTATCTTATTCAAAATTTAAGCTGTTATAGATTACAAAACATAAGCATTCATATAAATTTCTCATACGTGCAAGTTAAATTTATACATTTTTCATACGTGAAAGTCTGATTAGCTAGATTATTATTTTATTTCAAAGTTTAAGTTGTTATGTACCGTAAAACATAAACATCTATACAATAAAACACCTCATACTTTAAATTTTATTCCACACATATTTTTCCTCTCCAAAATATCACATAACTTATTTCTATTACATGCATAATTATTTTAATACTTGATTAATTTATAGTTTAATATAATTTTTATTTCAAATATTATACATACACGATAGTATATATATGTTGAAAAAATTTTGTCAGATATGTATTTTTTTTAAAAAATTGTCGATATTTTTAATAAAATAATGGATAAATATAATGGGATAAATTTTTTTAAGTGTTCGAATTTTATATTTTATCGTGCCTTCGGGCATAAATTATGACTAACTTATATATAACTCTTAACACGTGCAAATCAAAGTCAAAATGAGATTTGTTACAAGATTTACTGACCAATAAAATGAGTGTAAAGCATAATTGATTGAAATGATCGCGTGGCATAATTGAGGGTAAAGCAAAATTACCAAGAGAGAAATCGTAAAACAATAATTATATAGGGGAAGGGGTTTAATTTGGCGTTTTAATTTTGGGAATGAGCAATATTGTAATTTTGAGATAACGCCACCCGTGAGAGACAAAACATAATTCGCTTACCAGTGTAATTTCAGAAATCTTTAAGAGCGTTTTTGAAAATATCAGAAATGATCAGGGGTGTCCGTATAATTTGTGCCCCTCTCTCTCCCTCTCTCTCTCTCTTTAAATAATGATATTCTGTTTCATTATCTCCAATTCTCCATGGTCGGCGAGCTTATCAGTTTCCATCTATTCCTCCGCCAATTCTTGTCAATCATTTTCTCTTTCCGGATTCCAAAAAGAAAATACCCAATTTGTTCACGTTTTGTTCTCTCATTAGACAGAAAAGAATTTCTTAGATTACCTAGGCGTATATATATATGCGATGAGCTTTTCTGAGGTATCATCATCGTGATCATCGTTTTTGCTTGGCGTTGTGATGAAATTCGGGAAAGAGTTTGGGATCCACCTTGAAGAAACCCTACCCGAATGGAGGGACAAGTATTTGTGTTACAAACCCTTGAAGAAGCTCCTCAAGAACATACCCTCCACCGCTGATTCTTCGTTGCTCCTAATTCGGGCTGATAATCTCAGACTACAACAACCAGGCGACGCCGTTGATGGGATTGATCACCCGCCTTTGGCCGACCACCAGGACTGCTTCATCAGAATTCTCAATGAAGAACTTCAAAAGTTTAACGATTTCTACGTCGATAAGGAGGAGGAATTCATCATCCGCCTTCAGGTTGGTTATTACTTTACTTAATTCTGATCGATCATCTTGAATTATTGATGGTCACTTTAGAATTTGGAGATTTTAAAATAATCAAGATGGAATTAAGGGCTGCAATTTGTTGTTGACTAGGGTTATAGATTATCTGTTTCAGGGTTGTGGTGTGAGATTGAATACCATGCTGTTTGTCCAACTGGACCATTGATTCTGTCGAATTGGTTGGCTTAGAGTCACCAAACGAAATTTAATGCCTTGGCTTGGGGGTGCCTCACTGTGTTAGTGCTGATGAGGGTTCAAATAACATCTACCATATTGTGTAATGTCTTAGTGATAACAATCTAGTAGTCCAAAGTCAGGTATTTCACTTGACCTGCATGGTTCCACCAGAAGATGATGATATCATACATGATGTTGGATATCTTTTAAATCTTCGTGTGCAGTGTTTACAAGTGATTTTTTTACAGATTTTAGCACAAGTGGGTGGGAATACTTTGGACTGCACGAAATTTATTGGTTTTGCTGTTAATTAAATGGCTAAAACTAAAAGTAAGGTAAGAGAGTAGGATGGTTTAGCGCTTGTTCAGCCTTGATTGTGATCCGACAACAGTACTTTTGTAAGTTGCAAGTCTTGTGGAATTTTAGGGTTAGATCTGGTTGAAGGACGTGTTGAACTTTGTAAGGTGAGTTATATAGTGTTTGAGAGTATTTTACATCTGAATGGCGTAAATTGATGAAAACTTTGTATCTGATGAAACTCTCAGTCCAACAGCTTCATACATGGGTGTCTCTCTTTCCCCTGAGCTTTGTCATGAGAGATTTTCTTTACCTTTATTGCCTTGGAGGCCTTATTGGGATGAAGCCAATTCTCGAAGTGGAGCATTCACCTGGTCCAAATTATTTACTTAAGTCCTTGACTCCAAGGTTGTTTCTAATTGAAAGAAACTTGCAAAGACACATTGTTTGATCCCCGTTTACTGTTTCTTCTTCCTTTTTTTCAGTTTCTTGCAACTGTTTTAGCCATTCAAACATCAAGTGGAATGTTCTGTTTAGCGTTTACATTTAGTTGAGTCGTGAGGTAGACAACTAACATAAAACCTGCATATCATTAATTAAATACTTGAAGTAGATTCAAGTAGTGGATGTTTGATTTTTCATGCCATGAAAGTGAAGCTCTTACTAATTCAATGGTATCAAGTCTAGGATTTTTCTTCTCTATGCCTCTCTATTTTGTGCCAGTTGAGGAGGGGTCAAGACATCATACTGTTGGTCAGGACATCTTAATGATGATAGCCATTGAGTAAACCACTGCTCGGTTCTTTGATGCTTCACTTAATCTAAAGCACCATTTTACAGAGGTTGCCCACTATCTATTCTGTATTGTTTTTTATACTCTTAAATGCTGTTGCAACAGGAATTGAAGGGAAGAATTGAGCGGCTGAAGGAGGAGGGCAGTAGGGATGGAGTGCCGACATCAAAGAATGAATTCAGCGAAGAGATGATGGACATACGCAAGGACTTTGTCAATATTCATGGGGAGATGGTGCTTCTAAAAAATTATAGCTCCCTAAATTTTGCAGGTATGACAGCTACTTCATTAATGTCTTTCTTCTATATCTAATTTGAGTTGTTAAAGGGCTTTGTCACCATTCATGGGGGATTGTGCTGCTAAAAAATTATTGCTACCTAAAGTTTGCAGGTACAACACCTTCGACCATAATGTTTCTATATGAATTTACATGAGCTTGAGTTGTGGAATACCTGTAGTTTCTGAAATGCTTTTCTTTGCCTACTTCCATAGGTCTGATTAAAATTTTAAAGAAGTATGATAAAAGAACTGGGGGATTGCTGCGTCTTCCTTTTACACAGCTTGCCTTTCACCAACCCTTCTTCACACCAGAACCTCTCACAAGGTTATTGCATGAGTGCGAGGCAAATCTTGAGCTCCTCTTCCCATTGGAAGCAGAAGTTGTTGAATCTCCTGCTACTGAGCAAGATGAGACAAACACAACTCCTGCTGATGTGACAAATTCGTCCTCGCAGACATCATTTCCACTTGGAGAGGAAACTGTGGATATATACCGCAGCACCCTAGCTGCAATGAGAACAATAAAGGGTCTTAAGAAAGCGAGCTCTACTTCTAATCCATTGTCTTTTGCATCTCTCTTTGGGACCCAGGACAGTGACAATACTGGTGTTGTAACAGCTCAAAACTCGCCCTCTGAATCTTTAGCCTCTTCGCAGAATGGAGAGGAGTCGAAGCAAGACAATGCCCATGTCACAAAATAGAAATGGCCTTTCTGTTTGTGATAGTGTTTCATCTTTTGAAGTATATGCTTGAAATGGGCAGAAACTGAAGCATAAGCCTCTGGAGTGGCAGTTTGTTGATAACATTTGTAATAAGCTGCTGGCTGAACACAAAAAGTACACTTGTTTAGCACCAACTTTTAAAGTTCCTATGGGAAGATTTTTGGATGATATTCTGTAACAATTTTCATTTCAGTAGCTATAACAATGGGTGCCTCTTCTTTGTTCCTGTTCATGCTGTATAACTGAGTTTGCTCTGCCGTTGACAGCTTTGAGATTCCCATTGATCGTTAGGGGGCTGGGAAAGTTAACATTTCAGAATCATTTATGGGGTGACAAAGTTGACATTCTGGAATCAGTGATGGGTTGGGCCTTTTGGGCATCAAGTGAATTAATGAAGTGTTTATTCCACTGACAACAAAAATGCTTTGATGTGATTGTTTAGAAAAAAGAAAGGAAGTGCACGAAACTATCACCAATTGCAGGTTCTGGGGAGCATCCAATAAGAATATAAGATATAGGAACTGGGGATATAGCTTTGTGCGATGGAAAGACTCGATATCAACCCCATTTCATGTTATGATCTTTTTCAATCCCGGATTTAAATACAGGGGATGAGTCTTTTTCCTTCAAAAGCTTTATTGGTGGAATAATTGCAATGTGACTATGAGAAGACAATAGATTGCATACCAAGCTTGTACCGCTCAGCAGTTTGGCTTGGTTCTATTGGGCAGGAACATTTGAAGCTTATTCAGATCCAGAGGGATGTTTCTAAGCACTCTTTTAGGTGTTCATTCCAAGGGATTTAATAAACTTTTGTAGCATATGTCCGAGAATCTGAGAAAGCACTCTATCAGTTGTAATGCAAGCTAAAAGTTAACATAACTGCTCCAACAAAGACTGTAGAGATCTTTGTGTAGATAGCCTAGAACTCTTGGTCAATGAGGCAAAGTGTTATACACACTTTTATCCATTGAGGGTGGGTCTTCCAGTTGGCATTGTCGGATCACTTGATGGGTGGGTTTCCCAGTGGAGCTCCTGGTGCTAAACACTATAAAAATTAAAAGTGAAACCAAGAAAGGTGGTAAGTATCATATTCCTAACAACTTGTACAAGTTGCTGGGGTTGCAGCCTTGTTGGAGATTTGGACTTCTGCCATGCTAATAGTAATAGGTTAAAATCCTTTCCTTGGACCTCCTTCAATTGGCTGATTAACCTCGTTTCAGTGTGCTGCTACAACTCAGGTGTGTTATGGCTTAGAAATTTACCAATAGGTTAATAACATTTTTAGTTTTTAAAGTATCAATTTTAATAATTTGATCCCTAAAGTATTCAGTTTGTATCACTTTGGTCCATAATTAGACAGTTAATTAAGTTTTTTTATGAAAGTGATCACATGTCACTCTTTTAGACGGTATCAAATGTCTAAAACATAGTCATTCCGTCAAAATTTACGAGCCGTCTTGCTTAATAAGGAGTTTTTATTATAACCGGTGCGCTTCGGGAACTCGATCTAATGTGTCTTGCATCTACCGGAGCAAAGTCAATAAGTTGTTCTTTTCAACAAAACTATATCAGAGTCATGCGACGTCAAGAATCGATAAAAGTATGAATGACTATTTTGTTCATCAAAAATCAAAAATCTTTCGAGGAAGGTTTTACTAATGTTTGTCACGGTTCATCTATGTTGGGACTATTTTTATATGAATTGAATACTTTAAATTTCAAATTAATAACATTAATACTTTAAAAATTAAACTGACAAAAAATACATATTTTAAAAAATATTAACTCTTTACCAATTTCTTTATGAGAATTCCCACAAATTGAACCCCCATGAAGATGTAGAAATTGAAAGAAATATTCAAGATTTTTAAATAATTTTAATTGTGTCGATTTTTATTGTCTCTCATTTACACAGGTGACATTTATGTAAGTCATGCAAAATTTATCAATATAATGAATCTTAATTTGAGTTGAATTAAGTATCTATATTTTTATAATTATCATACATTTGATTTATTTTTTTCCTAATAATTTTAAACTTAATTATTTCTAAGAAAAAAGGTATAAAAAATAGTCCAACATACCAATACCGATATTATGATATGTGTGAGAAAAAAAAAAATCATTAGAAAATATGGATACCCACTACAAACCCGATGTTTACATGGTGGGGTAATCGGGTAGGGTGGCCATGTGCAGCGACTGTTGCTCTCACCTTCTCGGACAATCAAAACATATGGGCAGTTAAAGAAGGGATCTGAGTTCTCTCTTCTTCTTCTCTCTCTCACACACACACAACCCACGATTCTTCACGCTAGGGTTCCGAATCTGACAATGTGGAGATTTAAATCCTTGATTCTGATCCTGGGGCTAACCTTTCCGATTGTTCACTCAATGCGCTTCGACCTCGTATCAGGCGCCACCAAATGCATAACAGAGGACATCAAGAGCAACGCCATGACCGTCGGAAAATACAGTGTCGTCAACCCTAACGAGGGATATCCAATGCCCGACAACCACAAGATCACTGTCAGAGTGAGAACACATATTCATTTTCAATACCTTCGTTCTTTGTCTTATCTAGTTTCATGTTTTTGAACTTGATTTGATAAAATGGGGCATTTTATTTTGGGTCGTTCTGTTTTGTAGTTATGGGGCATTACCAGTACAAAGTTTTAGTTTTGAGCATTCAATTGCTGCTTATTTCCGCATTGACATTAATTTGGTAATGGATAGGTTGATATGTTAAAAAAAAATCAAATTTTAAAACCCTAATTGCTCAAATTCGCATGTAATTCTACTGGAGGATCAAATTGGTGTTAGTATGGCCATTTGAGTGTACAATTGTGAAGTGGAAATCTCCATTTGTATGATCCATGTCCTAGGCAGTGGGAGTTTTTGGAATCTCTAGAAACTACTATTTGCATTAAAAGAACAGTTTCCTCGTGTTGTAATTATGTCGATTGGTGAATAAAATGGTAGTAATGGAGCTAGTATAATGCATGATACGTATTTGAACTGAGAGGGATGGAATGGATGTATCTAGTACGAGATTATGGTGTTCTGTGGGGGTTGTGTTCAAATTCAAGCTTTTAGTTCATGTCTTTCACTTGACACAGACCATCGTGGCACAGGAAATGGTCCCTTGGGTTGGGTTGGGCTGTCACTTGTTACTGTACAAAAGTTGAAGCTTTATACTTTACCTTCTACAATCATGGGAGTTTAATTTTTGGAAGATTTGTTTGCTGATGTCGGTTGTTTCTCCAGATTATTTTAACTGCAAAACCCTCAACTATTCTCTGTAATCTGCAATCCTAGGGATTTCAGGTTTTGGGATGTTTTGATGTGATTTTTTATAGGTCACCTCACCATATGGGAATAACTATCACTATGGAGATCATGTGGATTCCGGTACTTTTGCATTTACTGCAGCTGAGGCTGGTGATTATATGGCTTGTTTTTGGGCACCTGATCACAAGCCAGAAATGACACTATCCATTGAATTTGATTGGAGATCAGGTGTTACTGCAAAGGATTGGTCGAAAGTTGCTAAGAAAGGCCAGATTGAAGTAAGTAATTTGATTTTGTTTTCTGTTAGTGCAATTTGGCTAGTTTGGTGGTTGTGAGTCCTTGGCTGGTACAGGCATATTTAAATTCAAAAACTTCTTTTGGTCTTTCATAGCTGCAATCACTTCCTAATTCCTCTCCCAATTTACATGATTGTTTAACATTGGAGTTTGGTAGGAGAAGGAACATATTGACCATCTGATATGGTGCTATATGGATATATTTGAATCTTAGTATTGTATGTCTTTGTATATTACCTCCTCTAGATCATGGAACTTGAGTTGAAGAAACTGTTCGACACTGTCACATCCATTCACGACGAGATGTTCTATCTTCGTGAGAGGTGCGATTTTCTTTCACCATATATGTAGTTATCTTCAAAATGGATTGTTGTCATTGAAATTTCCGTTGATTTAAGTGGTCTTTTTCCTTTCGTTGTCTTGGTCTTGCAGGGAAGATGAAATGCAAGCACTAAATAGAGCAACTAATTCAAAGATGGCCACCTTTAGTTTTCTGTCTCTTTTGGTTTGCTTGTCGGTGGCTGGTCTGCAACTCTGGCACTTGAAGGCGTTTTTTGAGAGGAAGAAGCTCCTCTAGTTTTGCTTGGAGAGTTTCTACAGGCTTCTAGCTGTCCTTTGGAATTCTTTCATTCTGCAGCAATGCAGTCGCCAGTTCTATTATCAGCTTTTCACCGCTCGAAGAGATGTACTACTAAAAAACTATGTATCACTTTGTTACAGACTTACATTTGCTTCTATGCTGGGAATGGTTTTCAAAAGACCCACCCCCCACTGATTCTGTAGTTTAATCACGAGATTATTGAGAACAAATCCTTTGCTATCCTCACTTGCATTCTCTCCATAAAATCCCTTTCTCGGGCAGTTCATGCTGCCAGTTAGATCATCAGTGCATGAACCCAGATGAATTTTCCTTACACATTCCTTCTAATGATTCACTCTGATGGACCCCTCTGAGCTCAATTCGACGCCTTCGATTACAATGGGAGCAGATGAGATTCACGTGATAGTCATGAATCACGTGATATACTCATGTAATTATATTCTGCTTTTGATGGAATTGGATGGAAGGGTTTTATTGAAATTCTAACTTTTTTGAGTGATTTAATTTATGATATCAAAAAAAGGAAGAGGGTTGAGAGTTTGATATTCCCTCCTAAAATAAAATAATTCTTCATAATTAATTCCATTTAGTCACCTCTATTAACAAAAAATTAATATTGATGGAGTATAAAAATAGAGAGGTGTGAGCAAGGAGTGCTAATAGCAAGGAGGGCTAATAGAGGTTTATGTGAAGTGTACAAGCTTTGTGTGTGTGAGCAAGGTAAGGAGATTAGTGGTTTATCATGCAGCTTTGTGTGTGTGATTAGTCCACGGTAATAGAAGATTTTGTTTCTATAGTTTTGTATTGTATTCCTTGAAGAAAAAAAAAAAAAAAAGATTACACTGACTTGTCTATTTTTACACAAGAGTGGTATAGTTCTCACAATCTAATAAAATATTTGGAGAAATATTTGAAAACTCTATTTTAAATATCATGATGTAACATTCTGGATAAAATGTCTTCTTATGAAAGGTAAGATTTGATAATATAATTCATCTTCTACCCTGATCTAGTGATGGCGACCTGCACGATATCATCAAATTTTATTCTTCTCAAATAATTGTTTGACTCTCTTTTTAATTTTATTTAATTGCCTAATTCTCTAAAGTTCTTTAACTTGATGTCATGTGTGATTTTTTGTTGGGTAAATTACACTGATACTCCCTAATATTTGATTTTATTACATAGACACCCTATCACATTTCCAAAATTACACCGAACTCCCTTCATATTTAATCCCCTCTAACTAACGGAGGTTAGAATTATTCACAGTCAAAGCTAATGTCATCAATAATAATTTCTAGAATACAAAAAATACCTTTCAAATTAAGTTTAAGAATTCAAATATATATTTTTCTTACCTTACAAATTTACCCAATCTCTCATTTATTTTTTTTAATCTATTACATTAATAAGTTAATTTTTAAAAATTTTTTGTTTATTAAATTATATTTGGGATTATTAGTATAGTTTAAAAATTAATTATTTTTTTAAAAATCTTAATAATTACCTATCCAATTATACCATATTAAATTTATTTTTTATTTATTATTTATCTAATTACATAAATTCTTACTCCTACCACCCATCATCACTGGTCCACCATTAGCTCCACCACCTAAAGCCACCAAAATTTCCAAACCTAACCAGACCCACCACCACCACCAGCACACAAAAAGAGAGATGAGAGACTAAAACCACTCATGTTTCCATCACCACTGAAACCACCACTTGAACCAAACTCATCATCAACCAACACCATTACATTGCAAAGGTTAGGATTTCAAAATCCACTTGCAACCACCACTTGCAAAATTCACCCATTACCACCGGTTCCACCACTTAGGGTATCGATCATAGAGAGATAGTAGAGAGAAAGATGGAGATCAGAAACCCTAGGGAAAGATTCGTTCGTTGCGCCACTGAATGCTAGTGAAAATAGGTGGTGGTGGTGGGTGGGGGGATTTTGAAACTCGACGGCGATGGTTGCGTTGCTGGGTATTGGCGCCAGTTGTTAAGGGGGTCTAATACATCTTGAGAGAGAGGGATGGAGATAGAGATGCTGGAGGCTTTGATTCATCATGAGAGAGAAAGAAAGAGAGTGTGTGTTGTGTGTTTTGGGAGTGGAAGGGGTCAGCTTTCAAAGGAGAGGTCTTGGGTCTTTGGTCTTGAATCTTGGGTCTTAATGGGTAGTTAAGGTGAGGGTAAAATAATATTTTTGTTAGTGTAGTTAACGACGTTCATTTTGTAGGGTCTCAGTGTAATTTTGAAAATGTGAGGAGATGTCCATATAATAAAGCTAAATGTTAGGAGTGTCAGTGTAATTTACTCTTTTTTATTTTATTTTTAAACAGTAATGTCATGTGTGACAGAGTTAATGTTAATGGAGTGGAAAAGTTAAAATAAAGATCGCGTTGGGCTTACTGTGCCTTTATTCCTCCGCGCTGTCTTGTGCCTCCACAGTCGATCCCATCGCCACAGAGAGAGAGAGAGAAGAAATGGCAAGAGTCATGACGGTGGCGCACGATGGAAGTGGCGACTTTCGGACGGTGCAGGAAGCAATAGACGCGGTGCCACTCTGCAACACTCACCGAACGGTGATACGAGTGTCGCCGGGGATATACAAGCAACCCGTGTATGTGCCCAAGACCAAGAACCTCATAACCGTCGCCGGATTGTGTCCGGAGAATACCGTCCTCACCTGGAACAACACCGCCTCGAAAATCGATCACCACCAGGTACATTCGCTACCGATTATTCCAATCATCGGGCTCTTTGTCGCGGGATCAAAATGATCGATCGAGGGATTTTGTGGGTTTTCAGGTGTCACGGGTTATAGGTACTGGGACGTTTGGGTGTGGGAGTACCATTGTGGAAGGAGAGGACTTCATAGCCGAGAACATCACTTTTGAGAACTCTGCACCTGAGGTAAGTGTCCTTTCAATATTCGATACCTTGTGAAAGTTGAGCTGTTCATAGATAGATTTGCTTTGGGGTTCTAAATTTTGTAAATATTGGATAGTTTACATATTGTAGTCTGAGGTTTTGAGAGTAAATATTTTTTCCATTGTTCATGCGCGGTTTGACGTTCCACCACTTGATATCTATATGTGAAAATTTTACTTCAGGGTTCGGGCCAGGCTGTGGCGATTAGAGTGACAGCAGATCGTTGTGCATTCTATAATTGCCGATTTCTTGGGTGGCAGGTACACTCATTTACTTAGGGCTATTAGTCATTACATAATATCAAATTTTCCCCTTGAACCAAGATTACCCTGCATACTATCCGTAAAATTTGTGACGCCTGAAATTGTTAAGTCTATATAAAGTTTGAGTCTTTTCTGACTGGTTGATGGATTCGCTTCCTCTACTGGCTATCTTATTGTATGAAATAAATGTGCTCTTGTCCAACTAAGTGGTGTGACATCTCACATAACCTAGGGCAATAGCTTGCAATGCAGTGGCGTAATTTTCAGTTTGATTAATTAGCTAAACCATTCATTATTCGTAGGACAATAGAATGAGAATCAAAGAGTTGAAAGAAGGTTTAATCTTTCTTTCCTTTATTATTCCTATGCAGGATACCTTGTATCTCCATTATGGGAAACAGTATTTAAAAGATTGCTACATTGAAGGAAGTGTGGATTTCATTTTTGGGAATAGCACTGCTCTTTTAGAGCATTGTCATATTCACTGCAAGTCAGCTGGATTCATAACTGCACAAAGTCGGAAATCTTCTCAAGAGACGACTGGCTATGTTTTCTTGAGGTGTGTGATTCACCACTTTTATCTTCAATCTTGTACTGCCAACTCTTGAGTTGGTTTTTTAAGATACTATTTGTTGTGCACTTTCCCTTTCTGCTCGTAACTGTTATAAGATAAATTCTTTGTGTATATGGCCTGTTCTTACCCATTGGCATTGTAACTTGCATAACATGCTTCATCATTTTTGCTACAAGTTGATGATTGTCTTAATGGCATCGACGTGACAACGAGATCTCTTGTTATGACAAGAATCTCTCTCCTTTTAAGTTAGGTTGTTTTTATTAATTTCCAAGGAAAGAACCAATGAATATCCTGTACGTTGTCTTCATCCTCGGTTCTTTATAGTAGCCTTGACACTTGTTTTCCAGCCTTTTGATGGTCCATATGAGACCTCTTTGGCGTTTAAAAATTGTTTAGGGAATCTTTGTTTATTTTGCCTTGTGAGCAATCTCTTGAATTCTTCAGTCTGCTTTGGTCTTATTCTTTTTCCTTTTTTTCTTTTCTATTTCTAACTTTTCTGACAATTTTTTGTTATGCTATTTTTTTTTTAAAAATTTGTTGTGACCTGGTGGTTGTTGAATGCTTTCTATGCTCTTTGTTTTTTTCTAAGGCCTGTATGTTATATAAGGTTGGAGCAACCAGAATGATATAGTCCTAGTTTAATTGTTCCCATTTTGCTTTACATCAGATTTCAAACTAATAAATGCATCGTATAATAGTGACTAAAAAAAATATTAGCATCATCAATAATCGTCTTGACAGTTGAAAAAATTCCAAGAGTTGGCAAATATTGGTGGCTCAGTTCTTGCTTCATTTGTGGTTATGGCTGCCTTTATTGTAGTAGCACCATTTCCTTGAAAACTTTTGTTAGGAATTAAATATAAACCAAATGGCTAGGCACTGATGTACGGAGTTTAAGCAAAGTACTTGATATCTGATATGGGAAAGGATTTTCTAACCATGTTATTCCCTCTTAAGTAAAATCCTTTTTCCTCTGGTCTGTGTAACAGAATGGGGCATTGTTCTCCAAATTTTGTTGCTGTTGCAGTTCTTCTATTATTTTTCCTGCTCCTGTTTGTGAAACAATTTTTTTTTCTTTGGGTTTTCTTAAACGTATAGGGTATTGATGCAGATGTGTGATCACCGGCAATGGAGGGACATCATACACATATCTTGGACGACCATGGGGACCTTTTGGCAGGGTTGTTTTTGCGTACACATGGATGGATGCATGTATCAAACAAGTTGGCTGGAATAACTGGGGCAAATCTGAAAATGAGAGAAACGCTTGCTTTTATGAGTACAGGTATATTTAGTTTTCAGCCTTTGAGAAGTTCCATAAAACTAGAGAGCTTTTGTAAAAGAGGGTTGTGGAGAACATACTATAACACGTGCACACAATGAGAATTGTACATAAAATCATTCAAAATTGGTGAACTACAGAAGAAGATTTCATTTTGATCTCACTGGGTTAATTGATACCGTATACCTGATTAAGCAAGACATTGACTTGGAAGGTTGGATTCTGTCCATTTTGAATTTTGTGTGCTAGAAAAACTTTTGCTTTGCGAGCTTGAACACCTTCCTCTGTTCTAATTGTTGGCATGCGAAAAAGTTAAATAGTTAATAAATTGTGAAGTTTTGTAAATACCCTCATTCATGGGATTCTATGAATTCTTTCGGCCTAAGCGGATGGTTATAATGAAAAAAAATGCAGGTGTTTTGGGCCAGGTAGTTGCTCATCAAAAAGGGTGACCTGGGCCAGAGAACTGATAGATGAAGAAGCACAACAATTCCTCATGCACAGTTTCATTGACCCTAATCCACAAAGGCCTTGGCTGGCACAGAGAATGGCCCTGCGGATACCCCATTCTGCTTAGGAGCTATCAATGAATCTTGAAGGCAGCAATATTTCTAGAAATTATCGAAGAGATGAGGTTGATGAAGTAACCGGCAGATCCTAACTGTATCTGTACACCTTAAGTTTTTACTATACGGTTTCTGGTCACATTTTAGTGCATGATTTGGTGTTGCAGAACGTCACTTTCCGCTAATGTATCGGAAGAATTACGTTAGGTTTGGTTATGCATCGGTGAACATAACTGAAAGGTAAAATTAATCCAAACATGGTGTCGAGGAGTATCCTTAACTTAATTCAACTCGATCTTTATCTCAATTATTTACAGTACAATAACTGATGAATGTCTACTTCTCTTAACAAATAGTAATTTTTGGTATATTATCAGATTTCTTTTTTGTACTGTAACATTACCGTCGATTCAAAATGACCAAACAATCATCAGCCAAACCATGAGTCCTGACAAAAACTTCCAAAAAAAAAAAAACGAATGGGTCATGATCATGGACACTTCTCGTGCCATAACAAGGGACAAATGTTTTTGGTTTGAACAGGTGTCACGAGTCAATTGGAAAGACGCAAATTTGCTTTCGGAGTTTGTGATGGACCCGACCCTACTTCGTGAAACAAGCCATTCATGTGTCTCCATGTCGGATAAGTAAAGCGCGAAATGTAGATATGGTTGTCTAATCCCATTCCCCCTACGAGACCTCCCTCTGTTCAGACGCGAGAGAGAGAGAGAGAGATATGGGTGAGGTTGCAGTGGTACCATCATCATGCTATAAAAGCTTCTTAATCCGTGCAGGGGCCCATTTTAGCAGATGGCAGTGGAAGGGCAAACCGAGCGGGAAATGGCCATGCCGTGTGTGGCGTGATGATTCAAGATCACAGCCACTGTTGATAAAGAGCCAGACCACGAAACCTTCAACTTATTCTTCCAGTATCACCACCGATATCCCTCTCTACGAATCCCCTGAGGTACCACGCTCTCTCTCTCTCATGTTTGTTTGTTTGGTTGTTTGTTTGTTTGTTTGAAATTGAGTTGCATTGGTATTGGCAGGCATCTTTCGACGAATATCTGAAAGATAAGCCCAGAGTCTTTAAAGCAATCTTTCCTGATAAACGAAGAAGTCAGCAGCTTAATGAGGTAACTTTCAATTTTCTTCCACACTAATTTTCTTCTAATTGTAAGGAGCAATGCAATTGTGATCTAATTTGCTAACGTAATTCACTATAATTTTTAGATTGATTGTGAGTCTCGCTAAAAACCAACTTCAGTTTCAATAAAATCATATCATTAAATCAATAAATCAAGTCAGATTTTTCGGATCAAATAGCTTTACTCACTTGTGAAATTGTTTTCCCCAATTGTTCCAGCATAAGGTGATGGAATTCCATTCCTTTTTGGTGTTTGTGAGTTTCTCGTTTGGTGAATACATGAAATTTGTCAATATAAGTTTTGGTTGTGAATTTTACTTGTGTGTCTATTCCTAGCTGCAACTTACTGACCAAATTCAAATTACATCAGGATACTCAAATCATAAACCACTAGTTTGGTATAATTAGCCCCTCTTTTATTTCAAAAGCAAATGGCCACAATTACAAACCCTAATACGAAAGTAACTTGAGGTTCTCACAATGTGAAAGTAACATTAATGGATAGTGTTTGGAATACTTACATGGTTATCCATATCTATATGTTTTTTAAATATTGCTTAACAAGGAGGAGGATTGTACTAGGTAGAGCTAACATAAAATTCGTTAAACCAAACATAAACATAAACATAAACAATGAGGTTTCTTTTAGATGTAGAATACAGGAAAATATTGGTGAACGAAAGTAAGTAGGTAGTTTAATGGTAAAACCCGGATGTCTGGAAGTATTTCTGCACTGAATGGGCAATTTTGTTTAGGTAGCTCTCTCTCTCTCTCTCTCTCTCATGTTTGTGTATCAATTTCATGTAGGAAGACTGGAGAATCCATATGCTGCCCATCCAATTCCTGTTTCTGACTGTCTGGCCAGTAATTGACATGAGGTTGAAATGTAAATCAAAAGGGATAGATTACCCAGCTAGAGTACCTCATGATATCACAAAGGTTCTTGATCTTGAGATTGTAAGTCTATCACTGAAAACAGCCGATCCAGAGCAACTTTTCATCGATTGTTTTTTGTGCTTCTAATATTGCATAAGGTGCTCGTATGCAGATAAGATGGGAGCTCCAGGGGTTAGATGACATTCTCAAGCCATCTCAGTTTTCCCTCGGTGTAAAAGGAGCTCTGTACCCTGAAAGGCAGGAAGCACAAAGCCGGCTTAAAGGTCAATTACAGATGACCATAAGCTTTGTTCTCCCTCCTGTGCTTGCTTTGGTCCCTGAAGATGTTCGTCGAGATGTTGCAGAATCGGTAAGACTATTGAAACCCTGCGTCCCCAAGTTATTGTTCTTCTTGACTATTTTAATATTGCAGAAGAATAAGGAGGAATGGAGAACTATAAGATCTAAAGTTGTTCTAATCAACCTGTCTGCATTTGGATTTGTGTGTAGGTGCTAAAGAGATTGGTGGAGAGCATGAAGCACAAAGTTAATGGTAGCTTGCTTGCTGATTACTTTGAGTTCAAGAAGGAGAAACCCAAAAGTTTAGTGTCAGCTGAAGGCTGAATCTGATGACGAATTTGACAGGTTGATTTTGTTGCAGACCTGATTGGCACAAGTGGTTAGAAAACGAGAGAAAACTCATGTAACCATACAAAGAGGCCTGGGAGAACCTGGTAACCTTGGAAAGCAAATCTCCATTTATATTTCAAATAAACTGAGTTGAACAAATTTGTTTAAGTGAATGTTGCCTTTTGATGTAGATAGTTTTTCACGAAAGTAGTTTTCGGGAGTTTTATTCGAATCTGAATATGAACCTGAACTGAAGAAACCAGAGGATGGTTATATTATCTTTTGTCAAATATGTTGGCACTTAAATTGATGGGGTTATCAAACATTGACAATATTTGAAGAAGACGGTAACCCAGTGCAATTTGATGAAGCAGGAAGGCTTCTATGTTGAAGAAGATGGAGCCCTGCGTAATCTCACTAAAACTAGAAACGATTACCGGTGAATGAAAATAAAACAGGGATGAAGAATGTTACATCAGTTTGAGGATCGTGTGTATGATAGCATCATCCTTGAATATTTTCCCAAGGCAAATGTAAGGTGTTGATTCCTTTCCCTTCCACTTCCCAAATGACTCCCAAGTCTCCAACGCTGCCATGGCTCCGTTTTGGACAAGAACCAATAACCAGAAGAGAATGATTAACCTCTGCTCAAGTTACTTGAAACACTGGAGGATGCAGGGAACAAATTTCACTTCTGTGATTGTGCAGACTCATTCACATGTGATGAAAAGCGTGATGGGGCTCATTTTGATTTAAATTGAAGGTTTCATTGTTTCGACCCAATTAATTCGCATTCACAGCATAATGTAGTGGAAGTCACCAATAATCAGAACAAGAACACGAACCAAGCTTGAAAGTGTGAAAACGATTGCGATCTCTGATTACAATCTCCCGGTTATATATAACGGACACAATCTTTATGGCAGAATGACAATCCTGGCATATTCGTAGATTCTTGAAAATGTAAAGAGGCACACCAGCTCTTGCGCTGATAAGCCCAAAACAAACTGCCAACTTCTCGCTATGAGTAAAAAGTGCCTGCTCCTTCTCCTCCCACTCTTCCGCATTCCCCTCACCACCATCACGACCAGAAAAGATTTGAGAGGTAAGGTTGGGGACATAACCAGCCAGTCTTAGTCTTCGAATCATCTCATCCAGCATTAAATATATATTTTGGGTTTGTGGGTGCGACTTGTCCCCTGCGCTGAACCGATGAACCTGACCACCGAGATGAATAGAACTCATTCCCGGCACCTTTCTAGTACCCCTTTTTTTTAAAACCTGACGGAGAGAATTAGCTTTGTCCTGCTTTCCTTCCAAAGCGTACATGTTAGAAAGCAAGATATGATATTCGGTATTAAGGGGATACATCCGAATCAACTCTTGCATAAGGAGTTCTCCTAGTTGGAGCCTACCATGCACACTGCAGGAACCCAAAAGTGACCCCAACACAACCTCATTTGGAGGAATTGGCATTTCCCTTATTATTATCTCTGCTTCTTCCAAATGTCCAGCCCTACCCAAAAGATCTACCACGCAAGCATAGTGTTCCATTGAAGGTCTTATGCCATATAAAGCTTCAAGGTTATAGAAAAAGTGGCGACCCTGATCGATGAGACCTGAGTGACTACAAGCACTTAACACAGCTGTAAATGACATATCATCTGGCTTGACCTCTGTAACCAGTTGGGGGAAGATATCCAATACAACATTACCTCGTCCATGCATTGCTAGCCCACTTAGCATAGCATTCCATGCGACAACATTCCTTCGAGGGATTGTGTTAAAAACTTGAAATGCAGTATCCACCCTACCGCATTTTGCATACATGTCAATCAGAGCCGTAATCACCATGATATCCATATCATTCTCCATCGTTTTCCAAGCATACGAATGCACCCACCTACCCATCACCACATCCCCCGACAGTGTACAAGCTGATAACAACGAACAAAGTGTAACATAATTTAACCCATACCCAAAACCAAATACCATTTTACCGAGAAGGTCAAAAGCTTCTCTTGTAAACCCACCCCCAACATAACCCACAGTCATTATAGTCCAAGCAACCTCATTTCTCTCAGGCATTTCATCAAACAACAACCTCCCATGCTCCAAACTTTCATATCTTATCACACCCTCTAATAGTACAGTCCATGAAACAACACTTCTTTCTTGCATCTCATCGAACACTTTTCTCGCTTCTGCTATTAATCCACACTTCACATACATGTTCATAACAGCATTACACACCTTAACACCAAAACCTAAACCCAATTTGATTAAACAGACTTGCCCCTGAACCCCAAAAACATCATCACTCAATTTTGCACAAACGTTAAGCACACAAACCATCGTGACTTCGTCGATTTGAGTACCCTCTTTTCGCATATCAATGAATAAATGGAAAGCATGGAGGAATAGTCCTGTCTGAGCATAGCAACCCATTAAAACGGTCCAATCCACGGTGTCTTTGTCCGAGTGGGGAATTTCGTCGAACAAGTTGCACGCTAACCGCGAGCGGCCAAATGATCCATACATATGGAATACTGCGTTGCGGAGAAATGAGTTAGGCAAGCTCAAGAGGCCGGTGGTGATAATGGTGGCGTGGAGCTTCTCGCCAACCTCGACGGCGTTGTGTCGAGCACATGCCCTTAGGAGGTTTCGGTAGTGTCGAGCCAGTGACGATAAGGTACACTCGGTTGGCCATCTCATAAGAAGGCACTCAGAGTTTTCAGTGGCACATAAGTCTAGTTGGGAATGGCGCTAACTACCGGCTTGCTTTTAACCCTAAGTCCGTTGGTGGGGCTACTTGGGCTTTGATTAGTCCGTCAAAAATACCCGAGCCCAGTGTCTGATCGAGGGGCAATCTTGTGGGTTGGCCCTAATATGCTAATAGGCATTTTTTTGCAATAAAATTGAAATCTAAATGCAATTTTAAAAATGATTTTTTAGATGTGGATACAATTTTTTAAACTTATTTAGATAAAAGTGTATGGATAAGTTGTTTATTCTATTAAGTACAATTTTTATAAAAAAATTTGTGTTTAGGTACAAATTCAAATGAATAAAATTTTTTTACTTAAACACCCTTCTTTAATTTATGCAGTCATTATTGACAGTTATTTGAGGAAACAAATATGTAAAGATTACATATTTGTTATCTTTATTTTTTGAATTTTGAATGAGCAGTTTTGTATGCTGTAAAAGTCTGTGTTCAATTGATCTCTACAGTAAGACAAAAAGTTTATGCAGAAATGTCTTCAAACGTCTCTATAGTTTGTTCAAAAAAAATTGATTTTTGCAGTAAAAGTCTTGTTCAACGTCTGTGTTCATCTGATCTCAACAGTAAGAGTCTTATTCAACAGTCGATTTACTTCTCTGGTGGTAGATCTATTCGAAAAAAAAAATTACAAACACCAATTATCGTCATCGACTTAAAGATTAATTGTTAATAATTATATTTCTTCTTTTATTTTGTCATTTTTTTTTTGAAAAATTCCTATGTTCGATTTTGTTTTATGTTTGTTTGTTGTTGGAATGAAGGGAAAAAATGTATTTGATTTTAATAGTTGTAACTGTTTTTAATGAGTGTAATTATTTTTTCTTATAGATATAATAAATATATTTATTCTTTTATTCGATCATTTTTTTTTGGAAATGATTATGTTTGATTTTGTTTTATGTGTTGTTCGATGTTGGAATGAATGAGAAAAAAAACTGTTTTTAGTTTTAATGAGTATAATTGTTTTTAATGGGTGTAGTTATTTTTTTGTATAGATATAATAAGTATATTTCTTATTTTTTTTGGAAAATTCTTATGTTTGATTTTGTTTTATGTTTACTCGAGGTTAAAATGAAGGGGAAAAAAATTAATTTTGTTTTAATGGGTGTAACTGTGTTTTAATGGGTGTAACTGTATTTTAATGAGTATAACTGTGTCAATACAATTTTAACCATTATTTTTTGAATATTAACAGTTTGCAATTTATGATCACAAATAGTTACTTTAAACAATTACGTAATTATTTTTAATCAAAAAATCAAACAACACAAATTATGGAAAAAAAATGAAAAAATGACAAAAAAAAAAACAAAAATGAATGTCACTTGCAATTTCTGGTGAAAAGGTTGTTGAAGATAATTCACAGTTACTTGACCGTATGACACGATGAACAGTAAGTCGTATCTTTTTTTCTTTAACGATGAAGAATAACTCATATTCCTCATGTTTTTGGATGATAAACAGTAACTTGGGTTCCTCTTTTTTTTTGGACGATGAACAGTCATAGTTCTGACATTTCAATCCCTCTATCGAAGAATATGAGTTTTAATAATTAAACTCCCTATTTTATCTCCCACTTAATTTTAGCAAAAAAAAAATGGATAAAATATATATTTACTGTTTACCGAAGGTAATAGTGATACTTTAAAAAAATATGCACTTTACCATGATAAGTTTTTGTGTTGTCCTTTTGTCTAAATAAATTTTAAAAATTGTACCAACTTTTAAATTGTTCTTTTAAAAAATACATAAACTCTGGGATTTTACTTTTTTGCCTTTTTAGAAAAAAAAAAAAAAATCAAGTCAGGTCTATGTAGCCAGACCGTTTGGACACCAAAAAATTTAGCTCAGGCCTACCCATCGAGTTTAAGGCTGCAAGTAGACTTGTCATTCATGATGTGTGAGACAGATTTGTGTCGAGTTTTAACGGAATCATGTCAAAAAATATTTTATGATATATTCAATTCGATTATTAATTCGTGTCTAATAAATCATATCATATCGAGTTCATATCGTTTATGAAACATATATAATTGATATATAAACAAATTATATTATGTATTTTTTTTGATTGACTTCCCTTATATCCGATACATTTATTAATTATGTTATTTTCGGATCTACTCGTTTATTAAATGAATAACTTAAGAAAAATTTAAATACTCTAATTTCATGTTATATTAAAGGATCGTGTCAGTTTTTGACACTTCTAAGAGCATCTTCAATAATAACTCAAATTTTAATTCAAATTTTAGTTGGTATTTGAGTAAAAAGCTTATGTTGATACAAAATGCTCCAATGAAAAAACTCAAATTTAAAGAAAGAGAAACTTATATTTAAATGAGAGCAAATCTAAAATTAAATAAGAGTAAAGATGACTATTGGATCTTTAAAAGATGGTGAAATTTCACCATTAAAGATTTTGGTAAGGATTTGAGTCTCTATTATGAGAACCTCCCTTAATTTGAATAAAAAAAAGAGTCTCCCTTAATTTGGTGTAAGTTTGAGTAAGAATTGGAACAATTTTTTTAAATTTTTTTATTCAAATTTAAATTTAAGTCTAAATTTAAGTCAAGTTAGAAGTTCCCTAACCGCAAGCTGCCCTACTATATGTGGACCGGGCGGGCCATTAACAATGTGGGCGGCTAAGAAAAAGTAAGACTCATGTCACGTGCAACTGCACGTGATAGTGTAACCTATAAAACCATTAGACAAGAGCCACCTTCTCTCGTAGTTCGAAACGACGGAGACCAATTTATGCCACAGTCGCCTTCGCCATATCCGCCACCACTTTCCGCCGTCAAGAAAGTTGTGCATATACACACAAAAGAAAAGAGAAGAACCCAATCTTTGTCATAGTAAGTGCATTGTGTGGATCCATTTATTTTTTAATTAGGAGTGGAGCGTTTAGAGCCTTAAGAGGTTTGGTTAGATTGCAAACAATTCAGAAGTTGCTGATCAAAGATTGTCTTTTGGGTATGTTTTCTTCGCATATGTATTGTTACTATAAATTCTTGGAATTTTTTCGTGGGTAAACAACTACGAATGATAAGAGTGAATGTGGGAATGTGATCATATCCATATTGTTCTTAGATAACAACCTTGTTAAGCATCCGATTGTAAGATCAAGGTATTTTTAGTAAAGTTTGAATAACATGGCAATTTCCAAATGTAATTTCAGTTCTTTAATTTTTCATTTCTTTTTTGGGTGATTACGATTGCATAGGTCTTTCCTTTGCTTGGCTGATTGGGTTTAGAGATAATACAATTACCAGAGACTAAAAAGTATACAGTAGTAATCTTTGCATTGTTTTTTGATATAAGATTTTTCTTAACCATGTGATTTGTTGGGGAAAGAGAAATTTGAGGGTTATTAGGATCTTCCCGCAGAGGACATAGGTTTATGCTTCATTTAGTGGTTGAAAAACCTGACGAAAAAACCCTAAAAGGGAAATTCACCCCAGAAAAGATGAAAATAAAAAACAAATCCTATCCTCATTTTCTTTTCTGATTGTTTGTTTCTGGAGAAAACAATAAACTTGATTAAATCCTGTTTGTTTGTTGATTTAGTTGAGCTTTTTGTTTGTTTATGTATTACTAGTGACGTGCCGGCGTGCAAGGTACGCTAGTTAAGACACGTTTTTGTGAGATATAAAAATTTTTAGATTGATATAAATACATTTAAATAGAAGTATGTAGATTATTGGAATGCATAAAGTAGCATAATATTATAAAGATGATCCCTAAGTGTGGTATGATTTTTTTTTTTTGGTGATTAATACAAAACTAAAGTATTGAGACTACTGTAAATATAAATATAAGTAACTTACTTGGTACATGTAAATATAAATATAAGTAACTTACTAGTGGGATGAATTCTGATTATTGGGTAATGAGTGGTTGCTCTCAAGTGAATAAAGTAATGACATAAAACTTCTGATTACACTACTATTAAACTCCGTTAATATAAAATCTTGGTTGCATCCATGATTGGCATAATTTATCACATAATTTTATGCAACTAATAAAATAGATTGCACCCTCTTGGGTTAAATCACTTTAATATCTTAAAATCTGACAAATCGGTTCAATTAAGTTCACAAAAAATAATTTATGCTATTCACCTTTACTACCACTATCTATTGTCTTCACCTCCACCTCCCACTCCTATTGCCTCAATCCCAAGATCCCCACCGTCTTCTCCTCCTCCCTCTAACCGCCACCACACCTCAAATCCATACCCTCGTTTACTCCCTTCTTTCTATATGCCCTCACTCCCCAAATCCCATTCTTGCACAACCCCATGCCCCGTGATCCCCATCCTCTATTTCCTCTCCAACTGCCCACCCAGCAACACCCATCCTACTATTCGTGTGTTCTATCATTGCCTTGTTGAATAAGGTTATGAATATCATACCAAATGGGCCACTGCTTTGTTTGACCAATCAAAACATAAAAAATACGTTTATATTAAAGAGTGGAAAAAATAAAGATAAATTGTGTTTAGGACATGTTATAGTAATGGTAGTTGCTAGTGACATGGGAGTGGTCTCGTGTTGGTCACCAATGGACAAATGGAATTGAAAGTGGTGGCAGCGACTGTGGACTCAGTTTCATTGAAAAAACAATGAGTATATTAAAAGGGAGAGATGGGATGGGATGGGATGGAGAGAAAGATGGAGCGGTGGAGTCATAGGTGGGTGTGGGGGATAATTGCTAATATTCCAAGCAAACAGCTAACCTAAAATGGGATATATTTGAATAAAATAATGAAATCAACCTATATTACTAAATTTTTAATCACAATTTATTTAAAAAACTAACTTTGGGACTATGGTGGTTAGTCCCAAAGTTATTTAATTGATAACAAGGGGAAAGCATTCATTTCATCTTGCTGCTTAATTTTTCAAATGGCAATTAAGATGATATAATTGGGACTGAAATTAAAATTAGTGAGAAAAGAAACATAAAATGGGCAATTAAAGAATGGAATGTAAAGGTTCTCAATGATATTTGAAATGATTTATATATTTACATTTATGCTAATTCCTATTCTTATAACTTTAGAGTCTTTTTAGAGTGTATCAAAATTGTAATCCCTGATTTGGAGTTACATGTTTTTGACTTTTAACATAAGAGAAAGTGGGTTAGTCCCCAAAAATATCTGTTCGTTTGTCGTTGGGACTTATAATTCACCTTCTGACTCATTCATTTCACATACTCTTGTGCATTTTCTCACTCCTTATGCTCTACTAATTGGTATGATGACCATAAACTAAAATTGTATTTTTAATTTTTTTGGGATATAATAGTGTTATATTATTGAGTTTTATTTAATTTTTTACCCGATGTCAACGATTATAGTCAATCTTTGTAATGTCACATAAGGCTTTTGATATTACAAATTGTAAATGTTAAGGGTTTTGAATGCTATGATTTAAATATAAAAGGTGTTCATATGATAAAATATATTGTGGAAAGGTTTCGTGTGCACTTTATCCAAAACAAAAAAAAAAAGGGAATAAATTTTTAGTACCATCAATAATTTACTACTTGACCATTCGCCATGTATGTTACCCCGGACTTTTTTGCATATGTTTTATGAATAATGATCTTGAGATCTAAATAAATAAGGTAATTTATTAACCTAATGATGTGTCTAATAATATGACCTTAATGAAAAAGTTCCACAATTGTAATAAGAATAATGTGATTGGATCATGTTAGCTACTACATTATTAGGTTAAGGAATTATGTCAGTTTTATATCTAAATAACTTTATTGGTATTTTATTTAAATAGAGGAGATAAAAAATGTGAGTTCAATTTATTAAGTTGCTTATGGGCAGCTTGGGATCCATTTGAATATAAAGATGAATCGAGCTCGACTCTAATTTTAACTCATTTAATAAATAAGCCAATCTTAAATAATACATTATTCAACTTGTCAAGTTCGTGAATAAATTGAGGTCGTTTATATATGCAAAAGCCAAATTATGTTAGAAAATATGTGTAAACAAATGCAAAGAATAAAAACCCCATTATAAATTTATTCAACAATTAGGTTGGTAGCTGAATCATAAATTATAAATAGAAAAATAGAAAAGATGATTAAACAGAGCCTCACGAGGCATCTCAATACGTTTTATTCAAGTGTGGCTATTCCATCCCACATCGGAAAAGCAAGAGAAAGTCCCAACAAAAATTTTCTTTTAAAGGTTAGTGTTATAATATAGGAAATACCCCACTGATTGTGGGTAGACGGGGTGACACATGTAAGCTGGTGCTCTCGCATGAGCCCATTTTACTTCAAACATTTGTGGGTCCTACACATGATGAACAATAGCAAGACAAAAAAGAGCATTCACTCTTTTATAATATAGGAAATACCCCACAGATTGTCAACTATATGTTCTGGCTTGTTATTGACATATTGTTGTTTGTTCTTGCCGTCACTCCACAAGTTCACATGTTTGGTTGCATTATAGGAGAATGCGGCATGAGTTTGCTCAGCCAATATGGCATAAAATGTATTCTCCTCTTTTTTTCTTTATGGATGGATGCCTTGCAAGCTAAGAACTCAGTAGTTAATCCTTTGAAACTTCAGCCAATTTGATTGCAATATTGATTATTACCAATCCTCACAGTCAGCCCATCAACCCCCCCCCCCCCCCTCCTCCCCAAAAAAAAAAAACTAAAAAGAAAGGAAAAAGAAAAACGAATAAGGGGAAATTTTAACAAGAACACTAATTTTCTAATGCTAATTTTTAATTTTTTTTTGTGGAAGAGTATATACTAATCTATTTTGGTGTGCATTGCTTTAATTATGGAAATGAGCAGTTTCTCATTGAGTTGTTTTGGCACTTAACAAAAAAACTGAAAATGAAAAAAGGAAGGCAAGTTGTTTGGGCATTGAAAGGCTTTACAGAAATGGCCTTTTCCCTACTGGTATGCATGTTCTGGATGGCATCTGAGATGTATGGATTTGACTTAATTAATTGCTGCACAGAGGATTTGCTCTATGAATGGAAATCCTTTCATATGAGCTTGCATCCCAAAGGAGATCTATTCTCTCTTCTTTCATGTTGAGGCGGTAGGACTGATGTAAAAGTGGTTAATAAAATGCATTATGGTGATAGAGGGAAAAAAAATTATCGACAAAATGAAGTTTAATTTCATTCTTGGGCTACTTTTTCTGTGGATTTCTTGTGCTTGTTAACTTATGTCTCTAGGTTGGACATTGTAGGCTTGTATTTTGGTGAAATTGCTACTGTGGTTTCTCAGCTGTTCATTAATATCGCATCTCCTCCATGTCAGCCATTTTTTACTAATCAAACCATCCTAGAGGCTCATATAGTCATAAGCAGGTTAAGCGCAGCATATACAATAATGTAATGTATTGAAGTACCAGTTTTGACATTTCATGTCGGTCATTATAACCCCATTTGTTATGTGTTATAAAATATGAAAGCTTTTGTATGCATAATTGGTTTTGTAGGTGAGATACAATTAAATTCTTAAGCTGATAAAATAGTATGATGCTTTTAGTATATGAGCCTCTATTATGAGAACCTCGTTGCTGATTCTACTTGATTACTTTTCATGGACCATACTATGAATTCTTATATTCCAGTACTCTGGGCTTCTTATTTCTAGTTCTGACAACTTAGCTTGATCCGTAGAAGGGGACTTACCATATGAAGCATCATGAAATAGAACCTAGGCCATTAGACTTGAGTTTTCAAGGTGGGGATCTTGTGGGGCTGATCCTATATGACTGGGTTGTACAAAATTTTAAAGAAAAAGAGGACTTGTAGCAACAACCTTGGGCCCTGGCTAGATTTATGGCTTTGCCTCTGGTTATACGTGAATTGTTATATGTGGTTTTATGACATTCATTAAATGAAACATTTAATATCAGTTGCAGAAATATGAAACGAAAGTGCACAAGATTAACTGATTTGAATGTCGACGTATTGAAAAAAATCATGATTCACGTGGCTGAGTCATCTGATGGAGCAACCAATATTGCAAGGATGTTACCAGTGTAAGAATCTAGTCCAGATAATTTATTTGTCTAATAATTTATTGGGTGGGTTGGCATCAGTTTGATTGTCCATGCATAAGTAATCTTTTCTAAAAGTTGAACTTGTGGCAGAAAATGCCAATAGAATTCTCAAAATTTTCCTTTGTGGTAGCTCTTATGATGACAATACCAAAAAAGGGTTTAGTTTTAGATCATAATATTAGAAGGCATGTGACGCAGGGCAAGGAGAAAAAATTTGATGAAATGAGGGAAAACAGAAGGAAGAAGGAGAAGGTGAAAAAATGCACCGAAAGAAGATAGTGACATTTAAGAATGAGGAATAAAATCGAATTCACTATCAAAGTCTATCATCAGTCTAGCAAAACCCATTACATGTTTATATAAGGCCTATTTATAGCAGCCCTAAATTAACCTATTTAATGGTTACCAAAAATGAAATATAAAATATTTAAATTTCTAAATTAAAAAAAGTAATCAAATGAATCTTATGTAATCAATGAAAGCTTCATCTAATACCTTTTTATATCCTATCGGCTTGTGAAACTTACATATTGTGGTCACTTCACATTTACCATTAGATAGCGCTTCTAATTTTAGTTACCTCCTTACAGCTGCAGAGTGTTTTCGGAACTTGCTGAGGATAGAGAAATCGTGAAAGCTGTAGTTTTTGATAGAGTTAAGCGATCTGGCATTCATGGATCATTCTGGCAGCAGAATGGTTTGTTAGTTAGGTGTTTGCGCAGTGGAAATGTGACTGCTTGTGACATACTATGTAAGGTTTGTTTTTTTCTTTTTCTCCAAGTACTATGGATTCTTTTGTTATGCTTTTTCCAATTCCACAGCAGCTGGATCACCTAAAAGTAGGGCACAAAGCTGGTGCCTTGATTAGCTTAAGCCTATATCTTAAACTACTTGTAGCTACATATTTTTGATTTAAAATTTAAATTAACATGCCCGTGCAGTATGGACAGATTTTGGGTGCAACTTTAAGGGCTCATAGGGGGGCTTTGCTCTGGAGAAACATGGTATAAATTATAACAACTTCTAATTCCTCTTTGCCATGCTCTTTTATGTCCTTTGAGCCTCGTTATTGGGTTTGTCTTTAGTTGATAAGTAATTCATATGTGCAGATAACCATGTCAAGAGCTAGGGCAGTTGGGATTGTAAATACAAGGGCTCGGCTAAAGTCTTTTCAATCATCCGTAGAGGTTGTCTTTGGATAATTGCAAGTCTTAGTGTGCTATTTTCTGAGTAATTAATTAGGTCATGCATCGACATGTCTTACAATTAAATATATACATCTGCAGGAGTGCTGGAAGCTCTTCGATGCTGTTGATGTCGATATTCAAAAGTTCATGGAGTTCTGAGTTGACGAGGATTGTTACTCAGAGAAAGAGCATGAAATAGCTTTCAGTCAGACGTGAAAACTCATGGTGGTTACCTTGCAGTGATGTATGTAGCTTTTCAAATGTCGACTCTAGAGGCTTATGCAATGTAATTAGCTGGATGTCTTCTGATCGTATTGCAAGATTATTAAGGAATTGTATTTCTTCCTGAGATGTGAGCAATAGCTGCGAAGAAGGTATTATTTTTCTTCAATTCCAGAAATGACTAAATATTCTCATTCATTGCCAGATGTTCTTGTCACGTTTAACTCAGTTCTAACACACCACTAGGGTATTTGATTTATGAACTAAATTATTTGGAGCAAATTATTAGATTCAAATCCCTCTGGGAAAATTGAAAAATATTGCTGTTGAAACTTTATTGAATTCAAATCACTTTAGTAAAATTGCAAAACAAAGGCTACTTAATAAAATGCAAAAACGAAGAATATTTAAGAAGAAGACACTGTCAAACTTCGAAGGCGAGGTAATTGGAAGGATTTAATAAACAAGAAGCATGTATCTGAATGTAATAATTTACTGGAAAACTTGAGGAGAGAGAGAGAGAGAGAGAGAGAGATTCATATGTCTTCGGAAACAACATAAACCCCAAGCAAAGAGAGCATCTGGGCTATTTGGAGAGTTTGAAGTACAGGATTAAGATGACAGCAACAAGAATAACCACGATGACAGCACCAATAATCCACTTGTTCCTGCTCATCCTTCTTGACATGGCAGTCAAAATTTTTTTACTCCGACTCATGTTATCATCCACCCCATAAAGCTGAAAGAGGAAAAAAAACAATAAGATTTATACGGTATGACTTTTGCCATCACTATCATAAAACCTTTGATTTATAGCACAAGAGTGGAACGAACTCTATGTAACATCCCACCTTTCATTCCCGAATGTTCCTGTGTTTCAACATAGCGTGATGATAAAGTGAACTATAAGTAATATTGTATTGTATATACCGTGTTATTGGCATGCAAGAGAGATTGTCGCTGTTGATGCAGATCTTGAAGAATTGAAACACCGAGGTCTTCTGTCTCCAGCATGGTGCTCCTACTGTCCCTAATTCTGTCACTGGACTTGTTTAGTCTTTCTGTCGACATTAACAGTCTTGCTCTTTGATCCGCTGATACCTATTCCCTCCATTACGGTGTCTCCGTGAATTTAGAAACATAATAAGCATTTCCAAAATCAAATACGAGAATATAGGATATACGTTCATATTGAACATGAATTCTCTATTCCTTGAACTGGCACTAAAACCTTGTATAAGGTAACATTCCCAACAACCATTTCCAACAATAACTTTGGAAACACTGCCATTTTCAGTTGAACCCATTGTTTTAGTAAGAGCTCCAGCAAACATGGAAAGCCTCCAACTGCTCTTTTGTATGCATTATATTTTTCCATACATTCTTAAACAAGATTTTTCTGCATTTAAAATTGTGTTATACACAACAAAAAATGCTTTCATGTAGCCACGATGAGAAGCAACTGTGTTACAACCTTAAGATAATTCAGACATACCGTTAATGAATCAGGCATTCCTGATTCCAACAACTCATCTCGTGCAGCCTGGTTGAAATTAGATGATGCAATTCGTTTAACTTCATTTTTCAAATTGTTCAGATCAGATTTATATTCCCTTAGCTTTGCCAGAAGCACAGCCTTTACATTTGGCTGTAAATTTCGCGCCTCAAGGTCCATTTTACGGATCTGGAGAAATGATCATTTGCTATTACAGTGATCTCCGAGAATATGGAAAAAAACGAAAAAAAATTAGCCACAAGAACAACTCAATATATTACCAAAGATTCAGCTGCATCCAGTCCAGATTTTATTTCAGAAACCTTCTGCTTCTTTTGCTCTTCAAAACAACAATATCCATAATTAACATAGAGCAAAACATTCAAAATAAATTTAAGGAACAAACAAGCAAACAATGAAGAAGGTTTAGACTTTCAGCAGAAGAATGTAAGGAAAAGCTAAAGCCATTAATAACCATCCTTACAATAAATCAAATAACTTTTATTGCACTTACCAAAAAAAAAATCAAATAAATATATAACACCTAAATAACTGTCACATTTTATGCGCAAACTCTAATACCCAAACACCCTTATCAGACTTGTCAAACACAAAAAATACAACCCAAATGAAACAGGAGGCAAATTAAAGAAGTTAATGTGTGGCGAGGGGAGAGATAAAGATGCCTATTTCTGTTTTAAGTCCTGAAATACAGAGAGATCTCTTCTTTCCTACCTTAGCTGTCCCATAATGGGGATGGGGGTAAGTGAAGCTTCATATCCTAAAACAACACATGCTCTTTTTCTCTCTCTAGAAAGTTGGAAAGCTTAACCCAAAGGTTTCTATAACAAATCTATCCACCCAAAGGTTTCTATAACAAGTCAATCATTGGCAGATTTTGTGTGAGTGGTTGTGAATGTTAGCGAAAGAACAGTAATGGAACTCGGTTAGACAGTCAGAAAACACACAAAAATGCAAAAAAAGTGTATCATAAGCCAACAAAACGATGACATTAAAAACCATTGTAATAAACAAAAGCATGTCAAAACAATAATGTTTTTCTTCTTTTCATCAATAAGTAGGTAAAGTACTTTCTTCAACAAATCAAACTAAAATATTCAATTGAAATGCTTAAACGGGTGAATTCTTTTTCTTTTTCTTTTTTTTTTTCCGGAAATTCATTCCCACTTTAACCCATTTATTCACAGAGTAGTTAAAAGCTCTTGACAAAATCATGTGCAACCCCAATGCAGAACTCCAAAATCAATGCCTACGCAAGTAGGCCAATGATTACACAAGCACATATGAACACATACATCCACCCATATAGAAGATATGTGAGTGTAGTCGCAATCGCGAAAAGGAAACAGCAAATCAAACAAGTTGTGAATTGAACTAGGGTTTCGTCTGACCTCCACCAAGAAGACTCGCTGACGTGCACTTCTTCAACAAATTCGCTGAAAGCTCGCAGTATTGGCGTTCGTAACCTTCAAAGACCTCACTCATGGTGTCCAAAGCTCGTCCAACAAACTCTGTTCTGCTTAATTAAACCAACAAAAACTCGATTGAGATTATCTTTCAGTTAGTGCGGGATTCGCATATCGCACCTTAACTACAAACCGATCGGAATTAGAGGATACGGCTATCAATATTCCACAATCGTTGATAGGAACTTACAGATCTTCTGATGATCAAACGGTTCAATTTACAACAGTAATCACATAAATAGAACGTACCTGGACTAATAGGAAAGTTGGAGGATCGCCTGCTGTTGAAGAGATGGTCCAAAAGTTCGCCGGATTCAGGTGGAGGATCTGGGAACGAGAAAGAACTGAAAAGAGGTGGTGGCTTTTAGGCGCTTCAAAACGACAATATTCTAACAGTTGGATCACCAGTGAGAAAGTATTCGATGTAACGGTGATCTTGGGTAAGTAGTGTCAGCAGCCAAGTGGTAGAACTGTAGAAGCAGTTTAATTAGCTCAAAGCATGGGTGTGTGTGTGTTGTTTATTAAATCCCTAACCTTTTAATTTTCTATTTGATATCTAAAAATTTTAATTCGTATTTATGTGGTCAAATCTCAAATATTTATCAAAAAATCATTAACGTCTTTAGTCACATGTCAATTATATGAGATCAAATAGACACAAATTAAAAATTTTAGGAATTAAATAGACATAAAATTAAAAACTATGTGATTTGTACGTGATCAAGACCGTTATAATTTTTTCATGTTTGAAATTTGACCACATATATAAATTAGAAACCTTAATGCATACCTTTAGTTTAATTTATTTTTATTGCATCACCATTAAAAAAAAAAAAAAGAAAGAAAGTGGTTCTGCATGTTAAAATATAATTGGATAAAATGTGTTAAATTAAATTAAAATTCTAAGAATTATAAAAATAAGGAAGAAATGTCCCCTAATGCTTCACGTAGTTAATTTGTTTTTAAATAATATAATATGGATTTATAACAAATTTACTTTATTCTTATTAATTATCATAACTCATCTTTAACCACTCTCAATCGTTTATATTTTAGGATTTTTTTGATGTGGGTATATTTTTTTATACTTAATTGTAATGAAGTGTATGGATAAATATTTTATTCTATTAAGTTCAATTTTAATAAAATATAGTGAGATTATGTGCAAAATTTAAATAACATTTAAATTTTTTTACTTACTTATTATTCTTTAAATTATGCATAATTTTTTTTTTTTTAGCTCTCTCTTTTCTCATATTGCTCACACCGTTACTTTCTCTCCTTTATCTTTATTACTCTTTCCCTTATTTTCTCTCTATCTATTTTTCCCTTATTATTTTTTCTCTCTATACTTTATTTTCTTTTCAAATAATAATATTTGATTTGATCGTTTCATTTATCCCCCTAGTTTCTCTCACCGTTTCTCTCTCTTTTTATATCAATCTTACAACAATACAATTACATCAATCAGTTACAATTATCTTATAATACACTAAACAATTACTCACGTATTCTAATACACCAAACAATTGCACAAAATTATGACACAAACTCAATTTGTCATTCAATTATTTGCATAAACCAAAGAGTTACATCATTTAGTATCACAACATGGTTACACTAATTGTATACATCAAATTTGGTATAATGATAAACTCTTTTGTGTAATGATAAACTCAATTTAGTGTATATAATTGGTATAATCATGTTGTAATACTAAATAGTATAACTCTTTGATTTATGTAAATAATTGAATGACAAATGGTGTTGATGTTGTAATTTTTGTGTAATTGTTTGAAGTATTAGAGCATATCAATAACTGTTTTGTGTATTATAAAATAATTGATATAATTAATTAATGTAATTATGTTGTTGTAAGTGAGAGAAAATATGGAAGTAAGATGAAAAAATAAAATAAAATCTTGATATATTTAAAAAGAAAATAAATTATCAAAGGGAGAGAGAAAAAAAATAGGGGATAGATAGAGTCAATAATGAAGAGGGAGAAAGAGAGAAAATAAGAGCAAAAATTAATTTTTTCATCCAAATAGTTCGAAGAGTTTTTTTAATGTGAATTTTGTCAAGAAAATTTTTAAACCTCAGTTTTGCACCAAAAAAAAAAACTAACTCTAAATAGGGCCAACTATTTACATGGTTTAAAATAATATATAAAATTGAACTTCTCTTAAATAACAAAAATGATTGAGTTTTTGATATTTTTCAAATGATCAGCACTTGTACACATAACAAAGTTCAATCTCATTAAAAACTCAATTTCACTAAATGTTATCTCAATTATTTCGATGTATCAAAAGTATCCAGGATTTTTATATAGGTGAATTATAATTTGTATCCTAAAATTTTTAAAAAAATTAGTTTACACCCTCAAATATTAGATTTTTTTATAATTCACCCTCAATATATTAAAAATGTTTATGACTCTTCAGTTAATTTTTGTTACTCATTTTATCAACGTTAATAGGGTGTGTTTGGGTAATGGGGTGGGATAGAGTAGGTTTTCTTTTTTTATATTCTAACCAATCCAAGTCAAACTCACTCATTCACTTTAAAATCCTAACCCAAGATTATATCAAATTCTAACTTTTGTTTGGGAAACAAATGTATAATTTAGTGGGCCCCATAGATTACACAAATAATTTTGTAGTAATTTACTATTCTACCCATGACTCTATCCATTCCAATCCAAACCAATCATATCTTATGTTTGGTTAACACATCAAAGTCTAATAAAATTATACATTTTTCACATATACTTAAATACATATAAAAATTATATATGATTTAGACCTCTTATTTAATTTTTAGTTTTCTTTCAATAGATAGTATAATTATATTCTAATTACGATTTTTTAAGAAAAAATTAAATTTTTATTTTTAATTTTATTTCAATAAATAATACAATAGAATATGAATTTTGATTGTAAAATAATATTTAATATTCTATCTTTAATTAAAATATTTTGGTCTAAATATAATATTTTAAATTTAAGAGGTCTTAGTATTATATATCTATTACAAACTTCAAAGGGATTTAAATATAATTTATTAACGAATATATTAATCTTGAGAGGTCTAAGTGTTACGCGTGTATAAACTTGAGGGAATTTGTGTTTAATATATTAAATATCAGGGGTTTGAATAATTACGTGACAAATTTTAGGAGATTCAAGTGTAATTCTTCCAAGATAAACCCATCAGAAGCCAGACTATCTTCTTCGTTCAGCACCTCCCATATACATCCCACCACCACCGCCACCAGAACTCACCGCCCCATCTCTCCCACCACCCCCACCTCCACCTCAACTCCCATCTTTCTCTCTCTATCTCTCTCTCCTTGCTACATATTTATCATCATCACCATGGATATGCCACCGATGTGCAGGTGATGTCTCTGGTTGTAGTCATCACGATTTGGTGATGGGTTTTATGTTGCGATGATGCGTCTGATGATGGCCATGGTGGTGCAATCTGAAGTTACGGGTAGCGACAGAACACACACACAAAGAGAGAGGAATTCGACGTTGGCTGTGAGTGGATGGAGAAAGAGAGGGGCAAATCCGTCTGTGTGTGGAGTATCCCATTGTCTGGGTTTGTAACCCATGAGTGGGGTGGGTTAAGCATAACCGGCGTATGGTAGTTAAATGGAACTGTAGCAGCCGGGTCAAGTTTTGACCCGAGATTGGTATCCTACCTCAAAAATAACTTCTCAAACAAAAGTTTTATGGGTCCCACTACTATTTTATGCCATCCTACTAGTAACCACTTTTATCCTACTACCCAAACGCCCCCATAAAGTAGTTTTTTACAGAATAAACAACTATAGGGCCACATTATAATTATTTTAATATATTGATAATATAATATAAAAAATATATATTTAAAAAAATAAAATAAAAAATCTTAAATCTCTCATGATATAAAGTGAGATTCCCCTTTGTTAGAATAACTAGTAGTTGTACATGAAATATTGTGAGAATTGTATATTAAAGTCATTGACCTTTTTCTTGAAATCCTCAACCCTAGTTAATATTAATTACTAAACTATCGAGAACCATGTGACACAAGGAAACACCCCCCCCCAAAACAAAAAAAGAAAAAAGAGTAGAAAATTACATGCAAAACTAAGACAATTTATGTAAAGGCACAAATACAATAACGTCTATGCTTAGTTGGTGTTGTCATTGCTAAACAATAATATAAGCCTCAAAAATTTTGGTTGAAATTCCATAGTTGAATCTCAAAACCTTTTATTTGAAAACTTCTCTGACAAAGACTTGAATCTAGGAAAAACCTATAACTAAATGCAACCAAAACCAACACCATCCATCAACAAGGACGGATCTATTAGTGGGCTAAGGTGGACTGAAGCCCAAAGAAAAAAAAAATTACCATTAAGTACCAACCCACCCCCCCAAAAAAAAATCTCATCCAACCCACCTGCAAAACTTCCCCAAAATCAGTCGGTCTCTCTCAATCACTTCCCCCAAAACCATGTCTTGTCTTTTCTCTCTCAGGCGAGTCACTTCCCCAAATCTTCGGACAAGCAACGGTTCTATGGCAACACAGGTGGCGAGTCACTTCCCCAAATCCCCCCTCAGGCGGTGAGTCCCACTGCACAAATACCCTGGTTTCTGGATGGTTTGATTTGGGCAATGGTTGTTTGATTTCACACGCACACAAAAGCATTCACACACAACCACTAACTCTCTCTTACTCACACTCAACGCACAGAGGCTCACACATAGACTCATTTTCTCTCTCTCTCTCTCTGGTTCATGGTGCTACATTCACTCAAATAAGATATAGTTTAACAATCAGTCCATTTTTCCGTTTCTTTTTTATTTTTTGCATTGTTTTATGCGATAGGGTAATTTTCGGACAACTTTGGTATGAGTTATCAATAATCAGTGTGTTCTTCTCCTTGCTTGAATCTTTACAGTTACTCTATTATGGGTTATCTTCGTTAGAGGAAATCTCATACATTTTTAGTTCAAAGTAGATGACCCTAGAGTTTTTCATAAGTGCAGACAAGAAATTTTTGGGTTTACCCATTTTAGCGTTTCAGTAGGCAAAATACCCAGATTAGGCGAGCTTGCAATCATATGTTGATTGCCATCAACACACATCTGTTCTTTTTCCATACTTTCGTGGTGTTCTTGAGGATCGAGATTGACCATATGATGAGTCATCTTCCATTTGACTGATAGCTGATTCCATATATGTTGAATAAACTACAATAGATCTGAGTGAAAATTGGTGATTTTCTATATCTTATAGTTATGATGTTTTTCTACTTTTTGTGGTGTTTTATGTATGTGTGAGCCTCTGTAAAACCCGATAAAAAAAATATTATTATTATTAAAATCCTAATAAAAGGGTAAAATAATAATTAATTGTTAAATTATGGGTAAAAAACGTAAATTTAAAATATATATATATATATATATATATATATATATATATATATATATAAGTGGAAGACTTTGTCTTCCACTTTTTATGTTTTCTACAGCCAGCGACACAGAGAGTGAGAAAAAAAAATGAGTTTTTATTTTTTTTTCTCTTTTCTTCCTTCTTAGATCTAGGAAAATTTAACCTTTTAATCGCTTCGGGCCAAGAACTAAAGTTGCTCTACTCAGCGAGAGCTACGCAACCACACCAAATATCGTATTTTTCTTCGAAGGTATATCAAAGCCGATAATCTAGACCTAAAACTTAGGAAGCTAAATTTGGGCTTCCTTGGCGTTCTAGTAAGTGGTCTCACGCTACGAGAGGTAGGGTTTCCCCTATTTAGATTTAATTTCAACTTAAAATATGACATATGGAATGAGTAGATTATGAGTGTATATCACATGTTAGGTCTTGACTAGTGTGACTAGTGGGTCAAATATAGAATTTATAATTAATCTTGTGATTAATAAAATTCTATTGTGATTAACTTGATATAAGTTAATGTTAGTAGTTTAAAGCATGTTAATTGTATGTTAGCATTATTTTATATTTTAATGACAGATCAAGTTTAATAAAATTATTAATTTGTTATATGATTGTGAAATAATATATATATGTTAAATGATTATTTAACATATAATTATTTTGGTGGACTTGTGCTTATGTTAAACATGTTGTCATGTTGCAAGTTATAGCATGCTAATTGTGTAAATTGATGTACTCTTTAGGTGTTTAATTAAATGTCTAGGTGAATACAAGTATGTTAGTTGAGTTGATTATCTTACATAACATGTTTGAGATCGTGTTAAAATGTCATTATATTGTATTCATTATGTAATAGACATTGTATTTCATTATGCATGGGTTGCACTACATTCATGGGCATTGACATGGGTGAGAGTGTATGCATGGTATGAAATCAATCACCACGTAGGTGGTTGAACGTGGACTCGAAAAAGTCGCACCAAGGTTCGGTTGAGTCGCACGAGAAATTAAATGGATAAATGTGTTGCGGACAACACGAAGGGCTAGATTCTCCCTTGGGTGCAAGACCCGCTTACTTGGTTTATACACTTTTCGGCGGTGAAATTCCAGAAAAGTGTAACGGCGGAAACGGAGCCGCAGGTGGAATGTCCTGAAGATCCGTTGATGGTTGGTGTCCCATTGGTGTAATACCATAAATCACCTCCCCATAAAGACACAAGAAAATGAATTAATTAGTCATTGAGTGTACATAACACCAATGATGGGGGCTTGGAATGCTCGGATACATACGCATGACATTGCATGTGTTATGGGAGCTCAGGATGGGGCTCGGGGTTGGTATTGCTTGCGTGAGTCTCATCTCATGGTATGACATGATCTATAATATTCAATCATAATAGATATATTTAAATGAATGTATCAAATGTTTGTTGCATGTGACATTCCATATGCATTTAGGTTGAGAGGTATTCTCTATAGGAGTTACCCTATTGAGCGTTAGCTCACCCTTTATGGGAACATTTTTCAGGTATCGCACAGACATCCACCGAAGGCGAGGCCATGGGCCCGCTTTGACGACAGAGCCGGTCTGTGGCTTTTATTTTGACATTGTAGTCCCTTGTTTATACTTACTTTTGGCTTTGTATAATTTTTGTAACAAATATTTGTTTATATTTACAAAGGCATGTATATGAGATTTTTTTGGGGACATTTATTCTTTTACGAATAAATGTATGTACTGATAATGATTATGGTAGTATTCGAGACTATACAATTGTGAATGAATAGATAGACCCGGTGTGGTCAATATTGTACAGATTGCGTTTTGAGTAGAGCTCCTTGTACAGAGGAGACTCTGTCCAAATTTTGTTAAGTTATGGATCCCAAGAAATGGGGCATAACGGTGTGGTATCAAATTACACGATATCCACCAGTATTACACAGGTCGATGGATAACCAATCGGATAATTACAGACACCCGAACTTTGGGGTGTCACAGCCTCTGTGCTCAAATAGGAGTTTTCTAACTTGGGAGAGATTTTCTAATTCAGCTTCAAAGCCTTTTGTGCCATATATGATGCCTTTTGCTGGAAGTTCCAAAATTCAAGTAAATGTAAATTAATTATGTGTTTTTTTTTTATTTAGTTTAATTTTTTAAGATTTGCTTTACTTTTGAGCTTTTATGGTTTAATTTTTTAATATTTGCAGGCTTTTTGAATTATTGGTTGGATATCAATTGGATTTGTACTACTGCTATTACTATGCATAATTCACAAGTTTTTTTTTGCTTTGTATTATATTTTTTTGATTTATGGGAAGAGTTCTCTTTCTAAATTTGTTCATAGCTTAATTAGTTTCTTGATTTGGTGAACTTGGGATGTGATAGACTACTGGTGCTTACATTAGGCCGACACTTAAATGTAATTCGGATTTGCATTAAGGTGACCAAAGAGAAAACTTAAGACTCATAATTGTGATTTGTGCACTTATGAAAATAGTAAATTTGAAAGGAGATGGATGTGCAATTTGGGTATGATATGTTCCTAAGTGATTTTTGGGTAGTGTTAGGTTCTTCAATCTTGTTGATTTATTTATTTAATTTTCAACCCTTCTCTACTTTATTAGGATGAAAAATCAAGAACGAAAAATAGCAAAAATAATTTTTTCGTTCTTCAAAAAGAAAAATGAAGAAGAAATATCAAATTATACTCTTGAACCCTTGAGTCTAGTAAAAACATCACCAAGTGTTGATGTTGCTATGAGTTTATATTTGTATTTTATTAATCGTATGAATACTTAACTTAATACGGAATAAACAAAAATCCTACCACCGCCCTTAACCATCAATACAAAATAATCAAGTTGATGTTAAGCCACGTTTAATCATATAATCACAGCACCCCAAGAATATTGCCAAGATAGCTTGTCATGTCGGCCAAGATTCGTAGGCCTACCATTTGCTTTTCGAGGGTGCCTGATGGTGGCGATGGAGCTCCATAATAGTACCATGAGTTTTTACTTGATAATATGATTAACTCATTGCAATTTTTTTAGAATATTGTTAAAAATAAAATAAAACAATAATAGCCTATAAATAGAGATTGTATAAAAATTTTGATTCTTTATTTGTATTTCAAGTCGTCTATTAATCCTGAATTTTGTTGGACCAAATAAAACTACTTGAAAAAGATTACAAATAAAATTGGGACCATTCTTTTTGGGTGTTCTTAGGTGGAGGTTTAAGTAGCTTATCCGGTCCTAATAGCACTCTAAATTTTAGTTATGCGATAGAACGATCTTGAGAAGAAAAGATTTATAGACCAAAAATTAGTAATATTGGATCAAAGCATGGGGCATGCATAGCAGAACAGACATACAATATATCTAAAAAAACAAATTGGTAATAAGTTTAGTAATTTGATCTTGACATAATATGCGCTCTGATACTCATACATTACAATTAACCGAGAATAACTTAAGCATATCACCAATATTAATCTCTGTATTACAACCAAGTTAGACCTTATATTTTTGTACAAATTATCTTCATCACTGGGAATTTCTCCTGAATGCTGCAATGGTCTGCGGATTGATCCTTCAAATATCAAGAACACCAAAGTTTTTTTAACATCTTGAAATTTTAAAATAATATAAATTGTTGAAGATTTTCCAAATTTCCGACTAAATTTAGCATTAATTTCGGAAAAAATATATATTTTATTTTACATGGGATCGATCCGCTAACAGCCAAGAGGCCCAAAGCCACGCGTCGAAGAGACGCTACGTATCTCAACTACGAGGGTATTATTGACAATTTAACAAACAAGCCCATGGTTATCTTGTTATCTTAGTGAGAACATGAAGTAAGCTCGGAGTAAGCTGTGATATTATCTTGCCATTTTGGTGCGGCTCCATTACTGTTGACGTCGATGAACTCTCGTTTCAGTAAGTTTCGATCTTTCACTCACTTCGTCCCTAAATTTAGTTTCGCTGTCACTTTCTTCTACTAATTTTATCCAAGATTAGGGGTTTGAATGGGTTCTCTGTCTCTGAAAATAGTTGCTGATTATTTTATTTGTTTAGTCTTTCGTTTAGCTAATCAACGGAAAAAAATGGGAAGAATATAGGTTTTAAAATTTATATGTTTCTTTTTTTTTTTTCAAAGAAACCTCCCGGTTTTGAACTTAAGGTTTAGACCGTTGGAATTGGTGGTGGAATTTTTTGGTTTCTGTATACTCTTAATAAAATTACATGATCACCATTACTCTATTCTGTGGGTTATGTAACAGAGTTGCTGTAACACTTTACAGACTGTGATTGTAGGCAAAATTAGTGAGTTATGGAATTAGCTGGATGTAATATTCCAGGGAATTTTTTTACTTACCGAAAAAAAAAATATTCCAGGGAATTTTCTTGATTGGTGCTTACTGTTCTTGATAAAAGTTTGAGCTAATTTATGTAATAGCAGACGGATTCTTCACGCATTGTTAGGGATCTTAGGGAAAAAAAAAGAAGCTAGAATGATTTGGGTTCAAATGGACCGTGTACCTGCATGATTTGAGGTCATGGTGTTTGCATTCTTTGATTGGAACCAGTTGTTATTTGTAATTTTTTGAATTTTGCTTATCCCATCCCCTGTGCACATGTAACTTAAAAAAAAGAGAAAATGAAAAATACTCATCAGCATAGAGGATTAATTTGCCAAAGTTCATTCTGTGTGGATCTGCTTGCAAGGAATGTAGTTGTTCCCAATTTCACATTTTACAGGTTCTTCTACGGCGAATTCTCTGCTTCCGAGATTGTGCGTTGTTTATTTATATAAGACATATGTTTGTTGTATGGGTCATTTGGTAATACAATTTGATGACAGGTTTCAAAATGTTGGTTTGGTTTCGAGAGTAATCCTCTTGTTCAAATAATCCTGAAAGTTAGGCTTTACTTTCCACTCTGTTAAACCCCAATATGTGGAAGAGTAGGGTGCTGGGTAGTGGTGAAGTTGGTTACATATCTACATTTTGTAACATGGCAAATTTTTTTGCCTTTAGTTTATGCCAAGTTCAGGTGATATGAAGGCAGAGGTTGGGTTTTCCATTATTCTGTAATTGCTTTGGAATTATTCAATCTTGTGTTTAGTTATGTGGGAGATGACAATGTATTTTTGGTATTTTTCCTTATTTTGTGGCCATGGGCTCTATGGTATCTCATTGGTACTTGTATAGTTTTTAGTTATTTGCTACCAAAGAGACACCCTGTTATATTTTTAGACAGTATCCATTTCAGAAGGCATGACATCTGTTTACCTTTATATTTTATTTCTCTGTTTGACCAGTAAGATTCTTATAAATTGTCGCCCTCTTTGTGTATACATTGTTTTTTTTTTCTTAGGGAATTTGGGGGTTGGGGGGGGGGGACTTGCTTAAAGGCATTAATTCGTGTCAAGTTTATATACCTCTAATGCTATCTTCTCTGCCCCTCTGTGCAGCTCTCTATATTAGGCAATCTATATCGGCACCATAGCAATTCCTTCTGCAGTATCCAAGAAGAAAAGTTCTCTTATATCCCCTTGGTTGAGTTGGTGGGACTCATGGTTTGAGGAGTTATTTGTGTGGATGACTAGTACTCTTTAAACATAGGAATGATTCTTTCTGCTCTTTTAACATCTGTTGGAATCAATCTTGGCCTTTGTTTTCTATTTTTCACTCTATATTCGATATTGAGAAAGCAGCCAGGTAATGCCAAAGTTTACGCACCGCGGTTGGTTGCGGAAGGAAAAACTCGAGAGGATAGTGATTTTAACTTGGAAAGGTTATTACCATCCACCAATTGGGTACGAAGGGCATGGCAGCCCTCGGAAGAAGATTTGTTGTCAACCTCGGGCTTGGATGCTGTAGTGTTCATGCGCATTTTTACCTTCAGGTTTCATATTCTTTCTAGAGAAGCTCACAAATAGTTAATGTTATATGTATGGCAGACAGTGAACTGATTAGATAACTAGATATATGGCATTATTCAATGATGATATGAATATGGGCATGCATATGAGTGCATCACCTATGCATGTGCATGGGGCTCATATTTATACACCATTATTTTCGCTTGCTACAGGAAGCTTGCAATTTTGCTTAATATGTAAAAATGACAATGAAATCAGAGTATGGAGAAATTATGGAAAATGGTATCAGTCTGTTTTACTAGATGAAAAAAAAGCAGAGAATATGCTAGTATGAAGAACAAAGTGACATGAAATGAAAATTAACAAAAGAAGCAGATGTTAAGTAATCTCTTTAGCATTCCTGCAATTTTAGAGGAGAAGAATAGAGACGTAGAAACAAGATCATCATGACTGAGGCAAATTTAATGTAAAATAAAATATGGCAAAAATCATCATGACTTGGACAAATTTAATGTACGATAAAATATGGCATGCAGTGTATTTTATGGGGATTGGGTAAAGCTGAGTGAATAATGCCTTCTTCATAAACATGGGTGACTGGTAATCGTGGTGTGTTTTGTACTGGGCTGGAGTGTCATGAGGTTTAAATTCAACTAAATTTTAACAAATTCTTGAGCATTAGGTTTCCCGTGATATATCCATTTCTTGGGGCTTGCACATTTTTCTTTTTTATATTTTTTCTTGTTCTTTTTACCTTCATCAGCTAATCTGAATTCTTCGTCTTATTATTGCAGTCTGAAAGTTTTTACTTTTGCTGGTATTCTTGGGGTTTTCATTCTTCTTCCCTTTAACTATATGGGGAATCAGTTGAGTACTGACTTTTCTGATTTACCAAACAAGTCTCTGGAATCCTTTAGTATTTCAAATGTTGACGACGGATCAAACAGGTAATATCAGCTGGTCTTTTGATTGAAAATCATATTTGATACTGGTGCAGACATTGATAGTATTCAATCATAGCTGAAGACTTACATGGACTGACGTTTAATTTCAAGCTATTTCAGGAAAGATTTTTCTCGTATTCGTTAGATTTATCCTTTGCTGATGATGTTTTGGCTGATTTGTATAATCATATAACTATGCATCTTTTTCATAAGTTAACACTGGTCTTACCTATTTAAGACAAAAAATGATGATGGGCTCTTCTCATTGCTGCCAGTCACCATTTTCTTTTGCACTTTCTTTTTTGCTATTTTTTCCCTTCTCCTTTCTTGAGCATTTGATGTTTTTATGTGGTTGAACTGTTAAAATGTAATGACTGATGTGTTTTTCCAATTCAGATTGACAAATATCTCAGCTTCTTAGTCGTTGTGCTAGGCAAAGCGAAAAGTCTCTTTAGTTCTCCTTCTCTTCCACTCTCTAATGCTAAGGCTTGCAGTTTTCCGCATGAATGAAATGCATCAATCATTTGGATTTTGGAAGTGAGATAGATAAACGCTTGGATTGATGTTCCAAGTGTACCTTAGATTGTCTGTTTTGATAGGTGAGAAAGTCAATAGAGCTATGCTAGAAATTTAGCTTAGGTCTCCGGTACAACATCTTACTGGGCTAAAGAACTATTTTGACCAGATTTCAAAGAAAATTTTCTGGTGTGGAGTAATCCTCAACTTTTTAAACAAATATAATTAACGTATGCTTGATGTTTTATTACCCTCTCTTAATTTGTCCATTGAAGTTGATTATTTTTGTCGTCTTATTTGTTTTTTTTTTTTTTGGGGGGGGGGGTTGCATAGAAATTTATTCTTTCCTACTTTTTCATTTGTTGTGGAGAGTTGGCTTTGTATTCCTGATAATTTGATTCTTCGTCGCCGTAGTAAATAGGTGATAGAATTTATTTCTTCGTCTTTGGATTTACAAAACAAAATAAAAAAATAGGAGTAGGCTGTGACATGTTCACTAAATCAAAGTCCTTTTGTAGCAAACCATTTATTAAGAAACATTGAGAAGTTTAACACAAAAGCAGAAAAAGAAATAAAAGTAACTTGGTCCCGGGCATCTACCATTATACCCACAATGATCAGCCATACTATTGCTATCTATAATGGATAGGAACATTTGCCTCTTGACAATACACATTTTGTGAGTGATGAAGGAACATATGAAGAGAGCTTATATCCCATGTTGAAGTATAAAAATACTTTAGTTACATTATTTCCAACAATTTATGTTTTTAGATGAGTTGGTGGTTTTCCATGGTATCAAATTAGGAGGTTTTTTTGTTTCAATTTTGCAGTGACCATATTGAAGTATATAAATAAGTAAGGTACGCCATCTGTTTAGGCTTTTAGATGAAATTATGGTTTTACACCCCACCTTGAAAGATTAGGGCTACCCAAAGTTGGTTTATGTGGCTGAGGGGCCTCGCTACCGGTTGCCAATTTATTTTGTGTTAGATGCTCTAAAATGTAGGTCCAATAGGGAGGGGCTAACTACGTGCCATACGAGTCACATGGCCATGCAAGTGTTGTTGGTGCCTCGCGAGTCACATGGTAGCCTTGGTGTCGTGAACCTTATTGGCCGCTCTGACATGTGCCTGTTCCTTTCATGTGATCTAGTCTATAAATATCCATCCACGCCCCACTTTGCTAAGACTTTTTCACTAACAAGAAACAAAAGATAATAAAGTTCCCATCTACTTTTTCTCTATGAACATTGGTGCTGCTATCTCATTTCTCTCCTTTCTTTCCTCTCCTCCTCTTACTGATCACCCTCCTTTGGTAGCCATATAAATTTTTTCTTGTGTTATACCAAAAGTAAGCTAAATGTTGTTCTTTTCAGTGGATGGTGCACTTGCTTGCACCATTGCTGACACGTGAGAGGGCTCTTCTTTCATATCTAGTATTACACATTTTTTTTTTCTAATTTATCACTTCACCAAAAGAGTAATGGGTGGTGCAGTAATGCTGGATCCGACTTAATCTTGACTTGTTAATTTTCTATTGATTATATGTAATATGAGATGATGGAATATGATGTTTGCTGTCTTCATGAAAATATCAACCTTGGAACTAAAGAAGGGCTTTGAAGAAGAAAAAGTTTGTTTTATTTGTTTCTTTGATCGAGAAGAGCAAGATTTTTCTTTCTTTTTGTTTTCTCGTGTGTGTTCTTTCTTTTTTTTCTTTTTTTTTTTGGGGGGGGGGGGAGGGGGTAGATGGCACGTTTTAGATCTTACATTTCCTTTTTTCAGTCAGTTTCAAGTTCAAGTTTGTGATCGCACTCTCTCTCTCTCATTTGTTTTTTACCCTAATATGAGATAAAATACGATGTTTGGTGTCTTCAGGAATTATCAGTCTTAGAACTAAAGAGGTGCCTTGAAGAAGAAAAAGTTTCCTATGTGTTTATTCGATCTAGAAGAGCAAGATTTTTCTTTCTTTTTTTTTTCCTGCTGTAAGAGAGAGAGAGAGAGAGGGAGAAGGGGGGGGGGAGTGGGCAGGAATGGTGCATTTTAGATCTTACATTTCTGTTTTTCAGTCAGTTTCAAGTTTAAAATTGTGATCTCTCTCTCTCATTTGTTTTTGACACTAGGCCATGCTGAAGGCTGTGAAGGGATTATTTTGTTTACAGTGAAGTCATATATAGCCTTAGTATCTCCTTTTTGTGTCCAATCTAGAAGTGATTTTGTAGGTAGTTGCTGATGTAATTTTATATAGATGGGAGACTGCTGAAGTTCTATTTCTAATTTTGTAAAGCCATCGCATAGAAGAAAATTTTAGTTTTGTCATGTTGTCCTATATGAAGCTTTTACTCTCTTCTTTGTGTGGCCTATGGTTCTTATTTTAGTTGTTACCTGTTTCAACAGTACATTTTACCGAATATCTTGTTTGAGTCTGAAAATAGAGTATTGGATGATATCATTTTATTGTTTTGGCTTTTTTGTAGGTTATGGATTCACTTCTGTGCTGCCTATGTTTTCACAGCATTTGTCTGCTATATTCTTTATCTCGTAAGTATTTTGTTTGCCATCATTTTTTGGTAGTTCATTTGAGGGGGAATAGAGAAACCTCACAAATTTCAAGATATCATTCTTTTCTGAATGGCATATAATCAACAGGAGTATGATTATATTTCATCAAGAAGGATTGCTTATTTCTATTCATCCAAACCTCAGCCACATCAGTTTACTGTTTTAGTTCGAGGCATTCCTATTTCATCTGGGAGCAGCTACAGTGAAAGTGTTGAGAACTTTTTCAGAGAGTATTATCCTTCAACATATCTCTCGCATTATGTGGTTCATCAAACAAGCAAACTTCAAAGGCTAATTGTAAGCATTTTATGTGAAGCATAGGTCTTTTGGTTCTGTTAGATGATAGATTCATTTGGTTTCTAACTTCCTACAAGGGTGTAATGCAATACTCAACCCAAATCTACTCAACAAAGTGTTATCTAAAGGTCAGCTACATGAATCATATTCATCCATTTTTCTCTATCCAAGGTTAAAGGGATAAATATTCAAGAAAGTTCTAATGTAAACTGCATATTCAATGGATACTTATGCAATTGATGTTTCTTAAAACTTAAGATGCCCCTTTTAGACAAAATACTTGATATGGTGAAATATATTTTGTCCTAAAAAAAGAGATAACATGCCATTTGTATGTGATTCAGTAGCTGATCCTTGAAGCAATGGCTTCCACATGTAGAGTATGGTCATGCCATATTTTGATTTTTGAGAAGTTGGAACTAAGTTGTGTTGCACCAAAACAATTCTCATAGTCTCTGGGATTTGCTGTGAGTGAAGTTTTGTTCAGCTCAGTGTTTTGAAAGGCTCGCCTAGGCGCTCGCCTAGGCGAGAAGCGAGGCGAGGCGAGCTTATCTCGCCTGGAGGACCCCAGGCGAAGCGAACGTGAGCGAAGCGAGAAAAAAGCGAGAAAAAGCGAAAAAGCGAAGAAGCGAAAAAAGCGAAAAAGCGAACGCTTTATTATAAAAAGCGATTCTGCTTTTTTTTTTTTTTTTTTTCCTGATTACAGGTTAGTAGTCTCTTTTATTTTTTAATCACTATGACTTTTTTTTAGACTATTGCTGGTCTATTTTTTTTTTTTTTCTAATAAACAATGTTTCGAACAAAACACATTCCTTTTTTTTCCTTGTGTTGCTGAATTCATTTAGAATATTTGTGGGATGTGGGAGTCAGGCGACTATACTGCATGACAATTATGATAAAAAAATAAAGCAGGAGTATCAGAAATGGGGGTAAATAATAAATTCTTCTACAAAGAAATGTCTCTGATATGTCTTGGTTATACTTTTCTCTTTTCTTATATATATACAAATGGTACCAAAAAGTGGTCTATGCTTATACCATGTTTAATTATTTTAGTACATGTGAAATGTGCCTCTGTTCTGTTTTTTTTTATTCAGTATATAATTACATATGAAATTGTTTACAATTGATTCTGCTCCTGTCATGATCATTGTGCTTCTGTTTTTTTTTAGCTCATTCTGCTTCTATTTTTTTTTGTTGATTCTGTTGCTGCTTCGATTTTGCTGTCCTGTGTTGCTTTTGTTTTTTTTTAATTGTCATTCTGCTTCTTTTTTTTTTGTTGCTAATTCTGTTGTTGTCCTGATTCTGCTTCTTTTGTTGTCCTACCCTGTCAATATGAAAATGTATACAATTGTTAGTATTTGTTTGAATTTAAATGTTTAAATTATGATTGTTATTAAGATTTGAGATATTATTAGTGTTTTTTTTAATTTAAATGTTTATGGTTTTACTTGCATTTAAATATTTAGTATATATAAAATTAGAACTTAGATTGTTTAGAAGTAATTAAACTAAAATATATATTTTTTTTAACTGTTCGCTTTGCTTCGGTAAAGCGTGTCGCTTCGCTTCTCGCTTCTCGCCTAGGCGTTAGGAGCCTTGGTCGCTTCGGTTCGCTTTACGCCTTAAATAACACTGGTTCAGCTATATTCACATTGGATTCCCCCACTGGGGTGAGTAACATCACGAATATGATCCGTCTTTTAATTGTTAATATGCAAGCTTCATTAGATTAGTGGTGTTACAGTATGGCACTGATGCCTTAGATGGTAAAATTGTACGAGCCTGCATTCTTTTTCCGTATCGCATCTGAATCTGAGGGGTGTCAATCTGACCCATCAACACGAACACGATGGAATCTCGGCATGACACAACTCTATAATTGCCACGATTAATAAATACACATAATAAATGGGTTGGATTAATGTTTTGACACTTATAGTACATTAAATAGATTTCTTTCGTAGGTATTGTCATGTGTTGAGAAAACTACTATAATATAATTAGGGTTTACGTTTATTGTAATATGTATACCACACAAAGGGTATACTTGTCTTTTGTTTCTTTGTTCAGTAACTATAAATTCAAGATTAATAGTGAGAGGTAGGGTAAGCCAAAACCTCTCTTTGCCTCTCTCATATTGTGTTAAGCTTCTCTCTTCTCTAAACTTATCATGGTATCAGAGCAATTAGGTCTAATTTTTTATTAATCTTTTTTCTTTCCTCTTTTCTTTTCCTCTTCTTTTCTTTTCTTCTCCTTTCTTTCTCTTTGTTTCTCGCTTTTACTGAGTCGAGTGTCTGAGTCTCTACTGTTTTGGATGGGACTGCACTGAAACTGTGCATTCCCGAAGGTGTGGTTTCGGTTGAAATCAATGTTGATTTTTTGTTGAGTTGATCTTGGTATTGATGTTGTTTATGGTGGCGATGGTTGTTTTGCTGAGTTGATCTCACTGTTCGGCGTCATCTGCTGTTTATCGTCATTGGTTAGTGATGTGATATCGGCGTTGATTACTGTCGGAGGTGTTGTGATCGTTGTTGGTTGCTGCCGGTGTGGTGGTGGTCGTCATCGGTTGTTGTCTCAGAGTGCTGTGATTGCTGTGGTCGTCATCGTGTGGAGTTGGACCTGTTAGCAGCATTGTTGAAGGTTGTTTGCAACCCTTCTATGAAGACGGTGAACAGTGCAGGTCAGGTCAGATCTTTGCTGGTTGTGGGCTTGGGTCAATTCTAAAAGCCTAAGTCTTTTGGCCCAAGTCCCTAGTCTAGCCCACGTCTTGTTGGCTGCCTAGTCCCAGCCCAGCTTGTTCCATCCCTGTCCATTTCGGTTCAAGCCGGTTCATCCCGGTTCGACACGGTTTAACACCAGTTCAGCCAATCTTAGGCCGGTACTGTTTAGTGTTACATGTTTCACCCTTGCCCAGGCATGAATGAGCCTGGTTCGTCACAGTTTGCCATGGTTTAGTACTGTCCAGGTCTAATTTTTGACTGGTTCAGTTTTGGTTCATCACTGTCAAGCTCATTTTGACCGGTTCGGTTCTGGTTCAGCACTGTCCAAGCTTTATTCAACCGGTTTTGCTCCGGTTCAGCACTCTCCAGCACTACTCCAACCGGTTCAACTTGGGTTCCACTCTGTCCAGCACTGCTTCTCTTGGTTCAGCCCATTTTTTGCACCGTTCTAGCTTGGTGCAGCCCTCCTAGGGCTATGGAATCCAAGAATGATGACACATCCGTTGTTACTTCTCCTGGGCCCCCCGGTTTGTCTTCTACTGTTCTATTTAATGGTCTTATGATGTCAGTCAAGCTTAATGGGACTAATTATGTATTATAGTCACGATTTGTCCAAGTATTTCTAAAAGGTAAATGCATCAAGAAATATTTAGTGGACCCCAGTGTTTTGAAAAGCGCGCTTAGGCGCTGGCCTAGGCGAGAAGCAAGGCGAGCCGAAGGTAGCTCGCCTCGAGGACATTAGGCGAAGCGAATGTGGCCAAAGAGAGAAAAAAGCGAACAAAGTGAGCGCCTTAACGGTTCCAGGCGTTTTTTTTTATTTTGATTATGGGTCGTTTATTAGGCAATTGGAATTTTTTTTTAAGACATGGATACACCGAATTATTCCTTTACCCCATAAATACAACCCCAAACCTAATTTTTTTTTGAGATTACCTTCGCTGGAGCTCTGCTACACGATCGTTGTCGCTGCTACACGACCATAGCTGGAGCTGGACCATCGCCGGAGCTGTTGGACTATTGCTGGACACGGGGAACACGATCGTGCCTTCGCTGCTCGCTGCTACACGACCACTGTTGCTGCTTCCTCACGGACACTGGGAACAGGTTAGTCTTTTTTTTTCTCCTCTCTTCTATTTCTCTTTTTTTCTTTTCTCTTCTTCTCTTTGCTGCTCTTTCCTCACCGATTCTACTCTTTTTTTTTGATTATGCCCTGATTAGTAGTCTCTTTTATTTTTTAAGCACTAATAACTTTTTTTTTTATAATCGCTGGTTTGGTTTTTTTTTTTTTTTTTTTGACAATGGCTGGTCTAATTTTTTTTTCTTCTGATAAGCAATGCTCTGAACAAAACACATTCTTTTTTTTTTCTTATTGATATTGATAGAATTAAACGTGTAAAAGAGTTATACAAACAAATGAAAATTCAAGACTTAATGCATTGGATACATGTGAAATTGTTTACATGTGAAACAAAGGATATGAATCTGAGGATAATGAAGAAGATGGTTTCTTTAGTGATGAGGATTGATTTCTAAGTCCTTGAGATGGTTTCTTTAGTAGTTTGAATTGTGTGTCTTATGTTTTTAAATATTAGGATTTGAGATATTATTAGTATTTGTTTGAATTTAAATGTTTAAGTTATGACTGTTATTAAGATTTGAGATATTATTAGTGTTTGTTTTAATTTAAAAATTTATGGTTTTACCTGCATTTAAATATTTAGTATATATAAAATTAGAACTTAGATTGGTTAGTAGTAATTAAATTAATTTTTTTTTTTTTAACTGTTTGCTTCGCTTCGGTGAAGTGTGTCATTTCGCTTCTCGCCTAGGCATTAGGAGCCTTGGTTGCTTCGATTCGCTTTACGCCTTAAATAACACTGGTGGATCCTAAACCCATAGAAGGTTCTCCTGGTTATGATTAGTGGGAATAGGTAGAAATTCAGATTATCTCCTTATCATTGAATAGTATTAAGGCTAGTATTAACTCCACTTTACTTAATCTTGACACGGCTAAAGAATTTGGGATCACTTGGCCATTATATATTTGGACATATGTAATTTTACTCGTACATATGAGGTGTGTCAACAACATTTTCGTTTAGACCAAGGCAATCTGAGCCTTGCATATTATTATTCTCATGTCACAGGTGTTTGTGAGGAATTGAAGCTGTACCATCCGTTTATCACTAATGCAGTAGTATGACTGAAGCAGCATGAAGATATAAATGTTGTTTGTTTTTTGATGGGTTTGAAACCTAAATATGAGACTGTTCGTTCTCAGATTTTTGATAGTTTCAGTCTTCCATCTGTCTTTGTGGTTTTCTCCTACTTACAGCGTGCTACATTGTCTATTGGGCCTTCTGGTGTTGATCGTAGCTTTCCTCCAGACCACTCAGCCCTTGTTGTTCCTATTAGCCATAATGATATTTCTCGATGTGGTCGTGGGGGCCGGGGAAGCTATACTGAAGGCCGTATTGGTCGATTTGGTTCTCGTGTGTGCACTCATTGTGGTTGTGGAGGACACACCGTTGATTATTGTTGGGATTTACATGGCAAGCCTTCAGGCGTTACTAATCAAGCCTTTTATCAGAATGATACACCCTCCATATCACGTCCAGCTCCACCTGACTTTGGGTCTGTTACACTTATTCGCAAGGAGTATACTCAGTTCTTGTCCCAACAATAAGTTGTTTCATCCTTTTCCACTGCCATGTTTGCCCATTCAGGTTTTACTTTTACTTGTTTATTATCCTCTGCTCGTAATCCTTGGATCATAGACTCCGACACTTCTGATCACATGACTGGTTCGTCTAATATCTTTTTTACTTATAAGTCTGTTAATTCTCCACATAGTGTTACTCTTGCTAATAGTATTTCTTCTAAAGTTTCAGGTTTGGGGACTACTCAATTGAGTATTGACATGGTCTTTATTATCAGTTTCATTTGTTCCCTAGTTTTTCTTTAGCTTACTTTTCATTAGCAAGATTACTCACTCTCTTAATTGTTCGGTAACTTTTTTCCCTTTCTACTGTGTGTTTTAAGATCTCCAGGCTTAAGAGGAATATTGGTGCGGGGTATGAAGCTGGTGGTCTCTATTATCTCCTCGGGCCTTTCAAACCTTGTCATCTCTCTTTTAGTGGCACTGTTGGCTTGGTCATCCTTCCTTCTAGAATCTGAAGTGTCAAGTTCCTAATCAGTTCCTAATCTCAGTCATGTGTCGTTTCTGTCTTGTGAAACTTGTCAACTTAGTAAGCATCACCATGTTTCCTTTTAGTCTAGAGTCAATAACCGTGTATCGAGTCCATTTGCTTTGGTTCATTCTGATGTATGGAGCCCAAACTTGGTTATTTCTTGTGAAAGCCCGTTTTGAATTATGTTCTATATTTGAGACCTTTCGTCAATAAGTAAAAAAACAATATGGTTGTTGCATTCCTATTTTCCGTTCTGGTAATGCTAGAGAATATGAATTTGATCCTTTATCCTCTTATCTTCGTAATACTGACATTATTCATCAAACCTCTTGTGCCTATACCTCTAAGTAGAATGGTATTGTTGAGCGCAAGAATCGACATCTAATAGAAGTTACCCGTGCATTATTATTTCAAATGCATGTACCTCGTATTTTTTGAAGTGATGCTATTCTTACAGCTTGTCACCTTATTAACCTCATGTCGTCTTCTGTGTTAAATGGGTAAAGTTCATATTTTGTCCTTGGACCTTATACCCTATTTATTCTCCTTACCTCCTATAGTTTTTGGGTGTGTTTGTTATATTCATAATTTGGGGCTTAGGTTTGATAAACTTGATCTTCGTGCTATCAAGTGTGTCTTCCTTGGATACTCTCGAACATAAAAGGGATATTGATGTTATAGTACTACTCTTCGTTGGTACTTTGCTAGTTTTGATGTCACCTTTAATGAAGAAGTTTCGTATTTTTCGGCTCTTGAACAACCTTTGGATCTTGACTTTGGACAGTCTACACCACCACCTTCTCCCTTACCGTTGCCTACTCCTCTGTCTAGTGTATCCCCATCCCTTGCTCCATTTTGTGTATACTCCCGTCGTGCGTAGTCATTAGCTGAAGTGCCCTTGCCGGCTTCCTTGCCGTCTCTTGGTCGGAGTTCCTTAGGTAATTTTGACTCTTTATCGATTGCTCTTCGGAAAGGTACTCGATCATGTGTTACTAATCATCCCATTAGTAATTTTGTTTTTTATGATGTCTTGTCTCTTGTCTTTTCCAGCTTTACCTCGCACCTATCTACTATCTTTATTTTTAAGAATCTATAGGGTGCCTTGTCTGATCCGGGTTGGAGAAAAGCTATGGACGTTGAAATGAATGCCTTACATTAGAATTGGACTTGAGATTTTGTTCCCTTATCGCCTGAAAAACGGACAATTGGTTATCAATAGAGGTGTCAAACATGTCGAGTTAAACGGTTACGTGTCAGGTTAAATGAGTAACGGGTAAAAAACATGTAAATCCGTACATGACACGTTTAATAAACAGGTAAAAATTTTTAACACGAACATGACATGTTTAATAAACGAATAACACGACACATTTAATAAATGAGTAATTCGACACGACTCGTTTAACCTGTTTAAAAACAAAAAAAATAAAATAAAATTATTTTAACAAATTTTTACACTCCATTTATTTACTTTCAGCTGTACTTTCCTCAATTAGAAGAGTTCCAACCAATAACTCACATGAAAGCCATACCACAAAGATTAACTAAAATGAGAAGGCCACTATCTTTTTTATAGGCAACTAAAGTCTCCTCTCTCTACTCCTATATCGATGTGGGACTAAAGAAAAGACAACGTTGTGGCTGTGCCTTCAAGATGTAAAAATGACACTTTGTCCTAAAAAAAAAAGCTTTTTCTTTATTGATTCATTATTTATATATATATATATAATAATAATAATAATTATTATTATTAATTTATTATTATCTTAAATTTATTTAAACAGATAAACGGGTTAATAGGTCTCACCCGAATACGACCTGTTTATTAAACGTGTTTGGTTGGTTAACCCGTTTACCACTCAAATCTGTTTACCACTCAAACCGGTTAATGTCTCACCTAAACCTGCTTAATTTGTGTTGATTCGTGTTGGTTAATCGTGTGGCCTAGTTATCGATGGGTGTACACTGTTAAGATTAATCTAGATGGTTCTATAGCATCTCAAAAGCTCGCCTTGCTTTTAAGGGTTTCACTTAAACCTATGATGTTGATTATGCAGAGACATTTTCTCCCGTTGCCAAAATCTCCTTTGTTCGTGCTTTAATTTCTTGGGTTGCTAACCTTGATTGACCCCTGTTTTAGTTAAATTTCAAGAATGTATTCTTGTATGGTGACTTGGCCGAGGAGGTCTACATAGAGTAGCTACCTGACTGATTGCTCAGGGGAAGTATCGTAGGAGTGTGTGTCGACTAAAGACATTTTTGTATGGTTTGAAGTAGTCACCAAGAGGAAGATTTGGTAAATTTTCATATGCAGTATTGGAATTTGGTCTTTTTCGATGTCAGACAATTATTCTGTTTTTCACAGACAAATAGATGCAGGATGCACTCTATTGATGGTTTATGTTGATGATATCGTAATCACTATTAATGATTTTGAGGGTATTATTCAGTTACATGTATTTTTGTAAGACAAATTTCATACGAAGGATCTGCGAAAATTTAGGTACTTCTTGGGTATATTGAAGTTGTCAGATTTAAGCAAGGTATTTTTCTATCTCAAATAAAATATGTATTTGACATGCTAGAAGAGGCAGGTTTACTAGGTGATAGACCAGTTGATGCCCCTATAGATTTAAATTAGAAGTTGTTGATGGATTATGAAACTCTATTTGATAATTCAGGGTGGTTGAAAAGCTTAATTATCTTACTATTATCCGACTAGATATTGTATATGTAGTCAATTTATGGGATGTCCTAGAGTACCACATTGAGATGTAGTCATTTGTATTCTTCAATATCTCAAAAGTGTTCTTGGTCTTGGATTGTTATATTGAGTTAATGGACATATTCGAGTGAAAGGTTTTTAGATGTTGATTGGGCTGGTTCTCCATCTGATTGACTATCAACTACTTGATATTGCACCTTCTTGAGAGGTAATGTTATTTCATGGAAAAGTAAAAAAGAAACAGTGATAACACGATCCAGTGCTGAGGTTGAGCATAAAACAATGACACATACAACTAGTGAGTTGACATGATTATTACACTTTATTTGGAAAATTAGTTTTTCAGTTCAGCTACCGTTACGACTGTTATGTGATAATCTGACAGTCATTCATATTGCTGCCAATCCAGTGTTTCATGAGAGGACCAAACATATTGAAGTTGACTGCTATTTTATTTGAGACAAGATACTAAGTGAAGACATTGCAACTCCGTTTGTGAAATCTGAGGCTCATTGCAAACATATTCACTAAAGCGTTGAGTCGTTCTCATCTTGTGGATATTTGTTTCAAGCTTGGATTATATGATATTTATATTTCAGCTTGAGGGAGAGTATTGAGAAAGCTACTATAATATAATTAGAGTTTACGTTTATTGTAATATGTATACCATACAAAGGGTATACTTGTCTTTTGCTTATTTGTTCAATAACTATAAATACAAGATTAATAGTGAGAGGTAGGGTAAGCCAAAACCTCTCTTTACCTCACCCATATTGTGTTAAGTTTCTCTCTTCTCTAAACTTACCATCATGAACACAAATTACAATAACACGACCCGAAAATAGCAACACGTGAATGACATGATAAGACACGAATTGATATCCACATCTGAGAAGTATGTGCTGTTTCTTGCAGAATGATGCGGATAAGTTGTATACGAGGCTTGTTCACTTGAAATCAACAAACCATACACAACAAAGGTTTGGGCGTGTGGGCTTTTTGGGACTTTGTGGACGCAAAGTTGATCTTGTAGAGCACTATGGAAAGAAGCTAGAGGATCTAGAAGATAATGTGAGGCTGGAACAATCTTCGATTGCCGGAAAGGTGTGTGTTTAAAACAGTGTACGATATGGCAGTTTTATCCAAGGATCCAACATCTTTGGAAACAGTATTTGTTCTGTATATGTAAGAGATGTTTTGGTCAGCCAAAAAAAGTAACATTTGGAACGTACAACATCAGGTTTAAGTTACAAACACCTCATTTTTCAGTTTTGGCCTAAGATAGGCAACTATTCTTAAAGGCCTGAAATATATGTCAAGTCATTGGATGAACTTTTCAAAAGAGGGTGTGTGAAGAACTATCTCAAAGTGCGGCCTAGTTTGTTGGTGGTTGTTGGTCAGATTTAAATGATAGAAACTGCCTCAACAACTAAAAGAGCGAAGTAAGTTCCATCTTTAAACAAAAGATTCAGTTTTGTATCGATATTCATTTATTGACATGCCAGTGATATGGTGATGCATTTTCATGAGGGTGCTCATACTATGTTGTTTCTGGAAACAAGGCTTAATTTGTGCTCTACATTCAAAATAATTTCCCGCACAGATCCTTCCATTAGATATTGACTTGATATGTGGTACAGCGTATCATTAAATGATGCCTTTTTCCAATATAATAGGAGGTTTCGGCCGCCTTTGTGTCCTTCAAGTCACGATTTGGTGCTGCAATAGCTTTGCATTTCCAACAAGGGGTCAATCCTACAGAGTGGGTTATCGAGCCAGCTCCTGAGCCCCATGATGTATACTGGACCTTCTTTTCTGCATCATTCATGAAAAGATGGATTTGCAGCCTCGTGGTTATTGTTGCATGTATGGGTCTTACATTACTTTTCTTTATTCCTGTTGTCATAGTGCAAGGTCTTACTCATCTGGACCAGTTGGAGATCTGGTTCCCTTTTCTGAAAGGCATACTGAACATGTAAGTTTAGTTTTCAGTTTCTTGTCAAGCGTATTCCAAAGGGTGGTTTTAGGCCTTTTTGATTCTGCTCATACATATATACGTTAACCTCTCTACTTCCATGAAGTGCCACAACATGTTGAAATATGCACTTATTTATTATTTTATGGCAATTAATGGTGTGGTGTCTCAAATATGCACCATCTTTATTATCTTACGGAAATACTAAATCAGTTATTTTTTGATGTGCAGAGCAGTTGTCAGTCAGGTGATCACAGGATATTTTCCCAGTCTTATTCTTCAGACGTTTCTATATTTTGTTCCACCCATCATGATAATTTTGTCCTCCATTCAAGGGTATATTGCACAGAGTCAGATAACAAAAAGTGCCTGTATTAAGGTACTCTGGTTTACTGTATGGAACATTTTCTTTGCAAATGTGCTTTCGGGATCAGCTCTATATAGGGTTAATGTCTTTTTGGAGCCCAAGAAGATTCCTGGTGTATTAGCTTTAGCCGTTCCAGGACAGGTATATGTGTTTGCAGTTTCAATTTGGACATAAAAAATGATCATATGGACTCGAAGTTTATCTGTGAAATTTCCATGCAATTTTTTAGCATTTCTTTGGAGTTATACTCATTTTATGTAGCTTTTCTTGGGATCAAATCAGAAAAAGAAACAGGTTTTGTAAAGGATGAAAACTGCATGATTGTTTCCTTGCTGAAGTGCAATTGGAAAATTTTAAGCACAAAGATCCTCTGCTAACTGTGGATCCTCAAGTACAGAATGCTGTCAGGCGTAGTGGTGGTCTGATCAGTGTTGACCCTAGGCCTTTTTCGGTATGATGGGATGCAAAACAAAAATTATATTGACCTAGGACAGACTATTCCTCTGAAACTTATGCATATTAGAGTCTCAAGTCAAGGCTCCCTATCATCTAGAGGGACCCAACCATGCCAAGAGCTCTGCACAAGGAATTTCTTTTAGACGTGTATGATTCAATCTGCAACAATAGTCTTTGTTTATGAGATCACTGCAAATCCTTTGTTTGATTCAACAAGAAAAGATATTCAATTGGAACGTACTATTCCTAAGCACAATCTAACAGTCTTCCCTGTGTGGCATGGGAAATCATGACAGCTTTTTGGTCTTCCCAGAGAGAAGTACATTATGTTCATAACATTACCAGGATCATAGTACTGTCTATATAATAGTTATTCACTTATTCAACTGTTTGCAACTCAAAGTCAGTTGGCAATGAGTAGGGAGACCCTTCAACCATATGTTCCAACTCCGACCTTGGGTGGCCTTAATCTTTCGATGTGGGATACTTAGCTCTCGAAATCCTCCCTCTGTTCAAACAAATAGACACACTTGTATGTCGGAAAATCTGGAGTGAGAGACTTGACCTGCTAATCACTCAAGACCCACCTATGACACCACAATTAGAGCATTCAATTTGGAACCAATTGGTAATGTGTGGAGCGGCATTAAAATATATAAATCAACCTTTGGTGGCTCCAATATTTCAATGTGAGATGTAAACTCTTTTTACATCAACACGTCTAACAGAAGAGTGAAATAAGAATCTGTCAATTGGTATCAATTACCATTCTGTAGGTTATTACCAAAACTAGGTTCGTCGGCTTCAAATCATAACCCTTTTAACATTTTATTCTTAAGGATATTATACTGATGCTTATTTTGATGCAGGCCTCATTCTTTATTTCATACGTGGTGACATCTGGATGGACCAGCTCTGCTTCGGGGCTCCTTCAAATGGGTCCTCTCACTTGCAATTTTATTAAAACAACATTTTCTAGGAAATTTGATGCTGATTTTGAAGTTCCTTCAATTCCTTATCACGGTGAAATTCCGAGGATCCTCTTGTTTGGACTTCTTGGTATAACCTACTTTTTCCTTGCACCGATGATATTGCCATTTCTCTTGGTTTACTACTGTCTAGGATACATCGTCTACCGCAATCAGGTTAGTTGGATGATTTCTTGTTCCTCAGATTTGCTCTTGGATAGGGTAACTCTACTATTTTGCATTACGTGTAATGGAAGAAGAATTTAACAACAAAGAAACTTTAATTATGTTTCACTTATGAGGCTTCAAGTGTGTTTATGCTTGTCTAAATTGCAATCAAAATTTTTGATGAGACAGTTGATTCTGAACTATCCAACAATAAGAACTCGCTTATTAGCCACTTCGTTGTTTCAAAGTAATTTAGTGACTTATGTAGCATTAGCATAAAGTTCTATACCTGTACCTTTAATCATTTTAGAAAGACATTCCCCTTGATTCTTACTTCAACAATCGTTATAAGTGCTGTATAAATACTTGCTATAGGAAAAATATGATAGATGTCCTCTTTTTCCTGGATTTATCTTTCAGGGTGTGTTATAGTTTGTTGTGTTTTGATACTTAGGATTTGCATGTCCATTGACCTAGACCTGCCTAGCTTACGGATTGCGTTCAGATTTTTCATATTCAAGATGTTATGTTGGGTGGCAGGCCTACTCTTATCTTGAATTGAATTGGGCAAATTTCTGACTAGTGACTCCAAATATGTTAATTTGCAATTTGCATAATTCTTGGCTTACTTTTTGATGGTTGTTGATATAACTGAGGGTGGACTTTATTGTCTATTAAGTTTAACTGATTTTGATTGTGGTTGTTATATACACCCTTTGCTGGTCTATCTCTCTGGTCTCTTGTCATTCCGGAAAGAATCTCTGTTGTTCTCTATGCATACATGGAAAACCGGCCATTAATAAAAATGGGTTATGTTTCTTGTGCAACAAAATGTCAGGGGGATGTTTTTCTTGTGCTTTACACTTTTACCTCCCCAATTATTTTTTTTCCTAGTGAAATTTAGGATAATTTGTTTCCCTTTTCCCTTGTTTCTCTTTCTCTTTGTTTATCACCTTAGCCGCCACCCACTACACCATCTCCTCTCCTCCACCGCACCTCAGAGTCACATCTTTCCACCCAACCCTTACTTTATGTGTATGTACTTATTTATATGGAAAACTTGCCACTACCTGTAGCTAGGTGACCACTTACTATAAATACTTATTCACCTACTTTTTTGTCTTCATGCCCATCAACACATACTTCACCACACCCTTACCACATCTTTTCTATTCCCACTTAATACCACTAAGCATCAGCCCACTCCATTAACTACCTCTGTCACGCCCCAGATTTTATACCGGTTTATAAGCAAATTTCAAAAAAATATTTAATTAAATAAAAGTGGTTTACCAAAAAATAATGGAGTTTTATTTGAAGATCTGATTTAAATGGCAAGAGCAACTCGTGAGAGCGTTCTACCAATTTTTTTTTAATAAGAAGCATTCTACCAATAAAACCATGCTAAACAACCACGTCATCACAATATAAATTCTAAAATCATCCGTAACTTAAATAATCCAAAAACCATTATCCAATCATTACCAAATCTTAGTACGATAATAACCCATAAGTTTCAACTTAAAGCAATTACAACTCTAAAAATTTGTAACTTATTTCAGAAGCTAATAAGAAGCAATTGAAGTAATAAGACATCTAGTCCTCAAGCCTCGATTCATAACCCAGATCTTGATCAATCTCAGGGTCCATCTCAAAATCCGCAACTAAACATGTCTCAACCTCTTTGCCAACATCTGGAAAATAGTAAATAGTGGTGAGCTCAACAAGCCCAATAGATAGTGATATTTCTCAAGTTTAAATAAAGTGTTAAATACATATGAATGTTGGTCAAATCACAATTTGAAAATGTGGGTAACAATTATTTTTATTATGTCATGCATGATGTAGAACAATTAAATATTTAATGGGGATGTTAAATTGATTTAACAACCAAGAATACTATACACCTAATCCATCTGAGTCCAACCAGTAGTAACAACCCCTAGGGAGTTTTGGGACCTTTCACCCTATGGACATAATGTCTTTTAGCTAACTTGATCTTGTACCTTTCATTCACATATGTAGAACACACACATTTGTAGTGCTAATCATGTGATTGTTTGTGAAAAGGGAGAAGTGTTTTTTCTAAGGTAGCTACGGAGTATAGGTTGGAAGAAAACTGTGGGGTGATGGTTTAGTGAGAGAGTTTGTGGTGGTTATTGGCAGTCATGTTGGTACAGTGAGGTTTTGATAAGTGGTTCTTTTGGTGGCAGCGTTAGGGAACTCTATATATGAGAGAGAGAGTGAGAGAGAGAGAACAAGAAAGAGGAAGAACAAATTTTGCTTTCACTAAAGGGAACCCTTGCCAGGCAAAAAAGTGGGTAGTGAAGAACCCATTTTTTTATTATTTTTAGACTTCAGCGGAGGCTTGAACTATTTTTGGAAGGAGTTAATATATCTTTGGTTCTTAAAACCTGATAGTTAAATTTTGACAATTTTGGTATTTGATATTTCAGTGGTGTTTAATTGTTCCAACTTTAACTTCTCTAATAATTGGAAATAGATCTGATTCGTGTGCAGATCACATAGGGGGCAAATCTCGAATTGCCAAACCTACAAAAAAGGGTCATGGCGGTCTCTCTCTCTCTCTTTGTAACACCCACGACCACCATTCCCTTCTCCTACCTACTCTAGTAGCTCTTCACCCTATCCCGCTACTCCCCTAACCATTAAATTGTTTCAGCAAATTCAATTGTTGAATGCCCATTTTGTCTTTTGTTCCAGTAAACGTTTGAGTTGGCTCCCCCTTTCTATCTATTTTTTCACGTACCAACCTTATCTCCATGGTCGCCTCTCTTTTCTTGACATTATGGTTTAGCATCATATACATGTCGTCGAAACTACATCTTTTATCCCCAATTTTTGGGCCCAAAAATCTGCTCTTGAAACCAACCAAAGTTAGGGCACTAAGTTCATTTTCGTTCCGCACTGTCCACAATCATCGTCAACTTTAAACGTCACTTTTTTCATTTTCCTTTATCCCCTCTTAAACTTTGTCTTAGACAATTATACTACACGTTTAGTTAATGTTTTCCTTAGAGTCGAGCTTTGTTGGGCTGGTTGTGAGATGGGTGGGGTAAAGGTGAGTGAGCTGTTAGATGGGTGAAGGGATTGAGGGAGTGGGTGGCAGTCGACATAGGTAAGGGAAGGGGATGGTGGCAGAGAGAGAGAGAGTGGTTAGCCTTGTCTTGTAGGTATTTTTTAGAAATTCTATTTGCCCCTCATGTGAACTGCTCATGGGTCAGGTCTGTTACCAATGTCAATAAAAGTTAAAAATTGGACCGATTAAACAAAAATGGGAAGCATTAGGGACCAAATGGCCAAAATTGAAGCATCAGGTACCAAATTGACAGAAGACGCATACTTCAATGGCCACAATTGTATTTAATCCTTTTTTAAGTAGGCACCAAGTTTTCACGCATATGTAATTACCCTTTTTTCATGGGCGTACCCTATTTTCTGGATTTGTTTAGCCAATATAATCAATTTTCTATAGATTTAAAGCGATGATATAGGTTCTTTACCAATATATTGGTGGCTTCAGGGGCAGAGCTAGGAAATTGTTTGAGAAGGGTTAGTCAAAAATATGATGATTTGTTTTAGAGCTAGTTAACTCGAAATTATGATAAAAAATACTTCATTGGTTCAACTCAAGAGGTAAAAGGGGCAATTGGTTAGGATAGATCAAACCTTTCGAAGTTCAAATAATGAACTAACATTAAAACAATTTTCTTCCTTTATTTTGTCTCTCTCCCCCTTATACATATATATACTTTGATATTAGAATCAGAATTCTGAATCAGAAAGAATAAGATTTGACTTTGACTAAAAATCAAGTTCTACAATTTTGAAATTTTATAGTAATATCGTAATGTTGGAGATTAACCCCATCTTCAACACCATCTTCCATTTCCTTTTGAACCTTGGGGATGTGGAAGGTGGGCAAGAAACTAATTAGAGGAAGGTATATAACTCAAAATTTAAAACTGTCGTCCTGCAACTCGTTTAGGTCCTAGAAAATGTCACTTGTTGAAGTGTTTCAGTCGAGCATGGTAAAACTACAAATCATTGGTTGTATGTCTGATGATAAATTAATGTAGAAGGTGATTTACGTACTGGATACTTTTATTCAGTACATAAAGCTGCTAAAGTATTAGCTTGTGATGTATCTTTTGTCTTTCTCAAAATGTAGTGGTTCATTGAAGAATCATAAACCAGGTAATTTGATTGGTTAGTATTTTTTTTGTTTAGCATTCGCCTAAAATTATAAAGTGAGTGAATTGATCTTGTATGTGTTAGAACTTTCAATTCAAAAGGAATTGGCATTGAGTGGAGAGTCCTAAACCAATTGGGTGGTCCTCTCATTCGATGTAGAATACAACCCTCTTTCCAATGTGGAGTATAAGATAGCACTTTGACCTGCAACTCGTTCAACTGATATGACGAGTCATAGGTTTCTGGAGTCCTAGGTTGGCATTCCTTACTGTGTAAGTTTCATTAAAGTTGGTGGGAAACTTGAGTGATATTTGAATTGTAATGCTCAGCAATTTTGTGTGCAGCTATTGAATGTTTATGAATCCAAGTTTGAGACGGGTGGAAGGTTTTGGCCTATAGTGCATGAGTCAATGATATTTTTCTTAATACTAATGCATATTATTGCGATTGGAATATTCGGACTGAAGAAACTTCCCCTAGCTTCCAGCTTTACAATTCCTCTTCCAGTTCTCACTTTTGTGTTCAACTGCTATTGCCGGAAAAGGTTCTTACCAACATTCAAGGCTTATTCTACTGAGGTACATCAACGTCAATATAAATGCTATAGCTTTCCATTCTCTTTACTATTGGCGGAAGTTCTTAATATACTACCTCTAACTCATCAATCATACTTGGGAAATGTTCCGATGAAATCCTTGTTTTTCATCTTATGTCGGGGTGTTGATTTTCTTAATTCTCTGGTTTTGCCTCCCTCAATAGTGGAGTTGCATGAAGAAGCTTCTGAACTTGCAAGTTGTCCTGTACCAATCGATGGCTCAACTAACACACGGTTGCCCTGGAAAATTTTTACAAATATTTAGTTTGATTGCCAGCAGTAAGGCTGGTGAACTTGATTGAAAATCTGAAACATGATTGACATCAAACAAATGTTGAGCGTGCCCCAGTTCCTATTTGCCTTTGTGTAGGTTATATCTGCTGGAACTAGATATTTGGTATTGGGGTGTCATAACAGTTCAATTAATAAATAATAAATGCAAGTAACAAATATTCTTTTGATTTACTTCATGATTGCAGTGCAATCCATTTTGGAGCTCGAGTATTTTTCCAGTTCGTTTGCTGGAAAATATTTGATTAAGTTGTACGTGATGAAATGTTATTTGTTAGGGAAGATGGTTCTGTTAACAATAGGGGACAATGGCGGGGAGTATGCCCATTCTCTGCCACAGATTGGTTGTTTTTGTTGGGTCTAGGTGGTCCAAATTAAATTGGATCAGTGCACTCCATTACGTCAAAGCTGCTACTTTGTTGTTGTAAGTTATCCTTTAGATAGCTTTTAGCACATGAATTGATGTTAATTCCACCTC